ATAATAAATGGACTAAAGGAAAAGTCTGTTCCATAACATGGGACAGAAGTACTTGGCCGCATGAGGGACTAGGGTGGGCAGGAAATACCTGGAGAGGCTCCCTTATGGAAGTCACCTTTCAGCTAAGATCTGGCGAACAAATAGGAAAAGGAAAAAAGAAAGGATTGGGGCGCTTCCTAATTAGAGGAGTCATAGAAACAAAAGGCCTACAGGTAGTTGGGAAAATTGGATAGAAAGGAGACCAGTGTACCCTGAAAGCTGAGAGCCCAGGGAAAAGCGGCAGGGATCAAGCCGCACTGCACAGCCTCGTGATGAGGGTGCCATATGGATTGACCCACAACAGTGGGAAGTGGAGTTTTAATGACAGGATTAAAAGAACAGTTTTGTATGATTATGCCAGCTGAAGAGTTGGAAATGGATTGCATTGTAGAGTCCAGCAGAGTTGAGATCAGGGCGGACGGTAGCTTATCCTCTGACGATGGAAAGAAGTGACGTGGGTCGTGCAGAGGTATTTAAGAGGGAAATTTTACAAGATTTGATGATGGACTGGACATGGGGATGAGAGAAATGAAACCATCAAGGACGACCCCCAGGTCTACATACCATGATACCCGGTGATTTTAATTATGATTTATGCTTTTTGTGACTTGTCATTCAATAATGACAAGAGTATATTCAAACTTCCTGAAATGCTGTTCACATTCCCATGATGATTGTGAAATGAATGCGGAAGGAGGTAGCTAGTATTTATTTACTTGCTTGGTTGTTATTGTACTGACCCTGACCTCACCGCTTATTATTTGCTAAAGCAGGCTCATGATTTTCATTTTTTAAAAAGGTTGATTTTAACATATGTGTTAAGAGGGTTAGTTTCATTTAGTCATTTCTTGGTGTTTTTCTTTCAAAAGAGATACTGGGATTTATGTTTATTTATAATACCATAATTTAGAAAATCAACCAATACAATTAAATCAGTGTTTTAAATAGTTACCTAGGTAAGCTTTACAATTCTAAGATTGACAGATGCTGTCTACAATTCCTTTGTTATGACTGAAGCATCATCGTCACATCTGGGCTCAGGGTAAGAACTCCTGGGCACCATGGGATGTCATTTGCCTCCCCCAGCTTCAAGCTGTTCTCAGTTTCCTTCATCTTGCCTTTTTTTTTTTTTTTAGCAGAATTTGACATTATATTTCTTCCAATTTTTAGTCAATCCATTTTCTCAGTTGAACATATAATTTCTCAGCATTTTATTATGAAAATGTTAATATACACACATAATTGTAAGTAACTACTGATGTAGGTGCTACAATTAGAATTTCTCTTGATCTTACATCTATCCCTCTAGTCATTCATCGGTCCATTATATTGATAGATTTCAAACTAAGTGGCAAACGTCAGTTCATTTCACCCTTGGCTCTTCAACATACATATTATTAACAAGTTTAATATTTATTTTCAGGTTTTTCTTTTATTAGGTGAAAGTTTCATCCAATGAAATACACAAATTTTAAGTATAATATTACTTGACTTTTAAAAATGCATAGACCTCTGTAACCTAGACCCAATCAAGATACCGAACTTCACATTCCAAAATGCCCCTTGCCAGTATCCCCTGCTCCAGCCCACCATTTCCATCCCCAGAAGTAACACTCAATTACTTAACCACAGGTTACTTTTGCTTGTTCTAGAACTTCATACAGTATATTTGCTCTTGGGTTTGGCTTCTTTTATTCATCATAATGTTTTACGATTCATCCACAATGTGTGTATCAGTAATTTTTTCCTTTTTAATGCTGAGTAGTATTTTATTGCTTTTACCACAACCTACCACAGTTTATTTCTCTTGCTGATAGACTCTGGGCTGTTTCCAGTTTTGTGCGTTTCTGAACAATCTTAGACAAGTCTTTTCCCGAATGTACGCTTTCATAGGCTAATAGTCAGGAGTAGAACTGGATGCTGAGGAGCTGGGTCATAGGGTAGGTATATGTTTAATTTTATAAGACACTGCCAAACGTTTTTGATAGTGCTTGTACAATTTTATACTCAACAATATGTGAAAGTTATCCCATATCCTTGACAAAATTCATCGTCTTAGACATTCTGGTGGATTTGGGGGAAAATAAAATTTTTAAATGATTGTTTAAGAGGCAAGCAAACAAATGACCTTAGAATCATGTACACACACACACACACACACACACGTGCACACACATACACGAATCCAGAATTTGAGTGTTTCTTGGGGCCAAACAATCAGGTGTTTGTAAACAAAACATTTAGCATAAGGACAGCAATATTTGTGGGAACCTACAGCATTTAAGTAATTAAAGATTTGAAATTATGATTTTTTTTCCCCCAGAACAAGCTGTCAGCTTCCAAGGACTTGTTTTGAAGTCCCAGCTTTGGACTCTGGCTAGAGCAGACCAGCGCCAGGGGTATTCACATTATAGAAACTCGGTGCTAATGCCTGTCAGTTCCCCCAGTACACACGATGTCAGAAATCCCAGACTTCCTGTGTGTGGACATACTCTACACGTTAAGCTTTCTTTCACGAACGAGGAAGCAGAGTGAAACAATACCCTCCAGAGAGATTGACTGACACAGGATATTGAATTATGGTCCCTTTTCTTTGCTTCATCATGTGTGTGACAAGGCCTATCAATAGCAGAGATTTAAACATTTCAAGAAAAGTGTATTTCAAATGATGCCCTACACTGAACCAGGGAACACTGGCTTCAGTTTGACAGGCCTGGGCCTGGGCCCTCCCTTCTGGGACCTTGCTGTGGAGAGAAAGGTGACCAAGAGGAAGTGGGTTTAGAGTTAGAGGGAGCTCCTTTTGAAATTGCTCTCTGCCATGAGGCTGTGCGGCTCAGGCAGGCCCTTCAGCCCTAGAAGCTTCAGCTTCCCCATCTGTCGGAAGGAAAAGATCCTTCCTCTCAAAGGGTGATGTTGTGAGGAGATTGCACAGGGAAGCTGCTAGCACACAACCAGCATGTAAGCTGCTGTTGTCACAGAAAAAAGGCAGTTCCTCTCTTTTTGTCCCACAGTCCTCAGACACAATGCTGCCCACCTGAGAAAACAAAAGCACAAAGCCTAATCTCCAAGAAGAAAAATTTAAATCTGAAAGAAATTTTCCATTCAAGTGACTCTTTAGTTGCAAAGGAGGGTATTCAGAAAATAACCTGTGTTGGGAAGCCGCAGTGAAAACCTAGCACTGCGGTGTGGGTGTGCTGGGTGGAAGGCCCTCAGGTGCTGCTACTGCTGCAGAGAACCCTGAAATAAGTCCAGAGATGGTGTCCTGGGGGCAGATGTTGACGCAGCCCTGCAGAACCTCCACTTGTAAAACAAGTGAGGGCCACCCAGGACCTTCTCCAGGCTCCCACTGTTGGAAGCAGGGAGCCCATGGAAGACCAATGAGCCAGTTCAGGAGGCAGCAGTACTGAGGCAGATGCATTTGTTCAGCTCAGAAAATGCCTCAGGAGCTAGGGCATGTTTATGTCCCCAAGGCAGGGTTGGGCTGTGCCTCTGCTTAACCTTCGGTTTCATCAAGTCCTTGTAGATAGCACACTAAGCCTGAGTCTAGTCTCAGGAGCACCACAGTTCAATCAGCTGGCCTGAGGGGCAAACAAAAGACAAGAAAAAGGGTTTTATGCATAATCTAGGGCACCACTGGGACTTGGCTCCTAAAGGAGACTGGTACTGAGATTCAGAGAAAGGGTAAGTATTTAAAAATCACCTGCTTTTGAGCTGAAGCTGATTGAGAAAACAAGTTAAAAGGCAAAAGTTGTATGAATTCGGCATAGTATCAAAAAAATGACACTGTGCTCAGTGCCTTGAGAGCAGATAAATGGTCTTTATCTGCAAAGGAAAAATTAAGACAGTTGTTCACAGAAGCAATCAAAAGATCCCATAATGTTGAGATAGTCATAGCCCTCAGTCACCTGAAGACCAGGGTCTCACCCGGGCGCAAGATCATGGATTCTGTAATTGGGAGGGATGGGCCGAGCGGAGTAATTAATAGAAAACCTGTATTTTAACACTTCAACTTTATGTGATGATTTTCCAATCATTCAGTCAAACAAAATCAAACATTTTATCTGGATCTGATATTTATGTGACAGTAAAGAGTTTTTACAGTTGATGTTGCTAAAACCATGCTAATCTTCCTCATAGACAGTCCTATACACTCATCTGTCTTTCTTGCAAGCTGACTTACCCTATTCATTGAGTGGCTACAAATGTTTTATGGTCTGAGCAACTGCAAGTTGAGCAGCAAAGTAGCAGTGATTCTAAGTGAGATAGAACTAGATGTGCCACAATAACAGCATCTCAGTCGATGATGAACACAGAAAATGCAGAATCCCAAAGGAAGTATAAATACCCACACACATGCACATAATTCCTAGTGTTCATGACTTCATTATTACAGATAGATGTTGAGCGTAAGCACAAAAAATTTTGAGAAAAGAACTGGGTGTTGAACTGCCTCTGTCTTTCAGATCTCATTGTGAAAGACATTTTTGTAAACTATCTGTAATTGAGGAGCATTTTAAAGAACTTTTAAAGGCTCTAAACAATCCTAAACTTAAAATCGGATTATACTTCTAGAAAAATTGTATAATATGTCTGAAACATAAACAGACTATTCAGTAGCCTTATAAAAATCTTGAACTTTGTTACCACCTTTGTCTTTCTGCATTTCTGTAGCGTGTCAACCTGAGAGCAGCCAACAGAAGAGTCAGATGTGCTGCTGACAAAGCGCAGCCCTTGGGCACCCTGGTGCTCCAGGGCTCAGCTGTCCTCTGTGTGTCTGACTGTAGTGCAGCATTGTGGTGGTCACACTGGTGCACATCTGTCATCTGTTCATATTCTCTGTACAACCTTTGCTTTCTTGACGTCTTCAGAGCTTTTTAATGAAATCATTTGGCTGGAACTGTAGTTAATTACATACTTATAATCTCTTTCTCTTGTTTTACCAAATGTTTGATCAATTTTAGCTTCACAAAGTTCATCGTGATTCAGGGGACAATTCTCAGACAGGTGAGAATACTTCAATTTACTCTTTTACATTCAGGAGGCATTTGTGGGGTCAAGTGTATAAGTTGATCTGAAGAACTCTAGAACCTGCGTTACTAAAATCTGAGTGTGGGTGTCAAGGTTAGAAAAGCAGAAGAAAAAAGAATCCTTACTATTTTTTCAGTCTTCATACACATCTGCCATATTCACCAAAGCCTCCCTCTCCTGGTTTTCTATTGGTGACTAGAGGATTACATAGAACCTATAAAGCAGAGCACTCCCAAAATCCAGTGGAGAAACGTTGTCTAACCATAGTCCATCTTCCCTTTCTTTGTAGCAGCAATGATGTGGGTGCGCCTGTGCTGGGGGTCACCACCTCAGCTCCCCATTTACTCACCTCATCCCTGAAGCCAGACTCTCACTATGTGATCCTTGGTTTCCTTGGACATAAAATGAGGGTGCTGGACCTAATATCTTCTCCATGGAGAAAGGTCTGGAATTCTCTGCTCATTAGAGGGGAAAAAACAGGGCCACTAGAGGCTGACAGTTCTTCCTGCGCATGCACCACACGTCCTCTCCTGTCGGTGGCTTTCCTGCCACGGAGACATGGTCAGACCCCAGGTGACTCAGTTAGTCCCTCTCCCCCATTCCAGGATGGGCCCTATTTTCAGGCTACTCAGAAAGATTTCATTTGATCTTTCTGATCTTCAGTTTCTTCATTTGTCAAATTATTTTACAATGTCCATCAAAGAAGGATTGAAGGAGGAAACGCATATCTAGCAGACCTGGGGTGTCGTCCTCCCCGCTCCCTTGGGCAGGCTGCAGGCAGGACAGCGGGGGCGAGCGCGCACTCTCTCTCTCTCTCTCTCTCTCTCTCTCTCTCTCTCTCTCTCTCGCTCTCTTTCTCTCTCTCTCTCTCTCTCTCTCTCTCTCATTCTCTCTCATTCTCTCCCCGCTCCTCCCCTTTAGACTTCCTTGCTGATATTTCGATTTCTTGTAACATTCACAGTGAGAACACTAACTTTTGAGGTTTTGGATATCAGAAACTGTTAAAAAGCATTTTCATATCCATCCCAGTACCTTCTACATAATAGACTCTCAATAAATGCTCACAGATTACCGATAAACTGAAGCCTGGGAAAGCAAAGATTCCATCATTTATTAGTTATTTATGTCATCTCTCCAAATTTAAATCTCCTCTTCAGTAAAATGGACATAGTACTGTGAGGCTTTCAGAACTGTGATGACTTCTTACTACGATTACTATAAAGTACACAGCAGCACAATGTCTGGTGCACGGTAGATGCTCTGTGAGTGGAAGAGGTTTTTTAAATTGGTGACACTGTATCCCTTCTGCCATTAACTGCAGTTATTTAAATCTGCTTTACCCATTTCTCTGGTGTTTTAATTTATTCCACAAGCATCTGTTGAAAGAAAGAATAACAAATCCTGAGTTAAAAGGCTTTTGTTGAAGAATAATTTCTCTGAACTCTTAATTTCTATTGCTATGGATTCTCTGAATTTTAACTGAGATAAATTCAGGAAGAATAAGCATTACCAGCTGAATAATTTCAGATGAATGATTCAACCAGCCAGTTGGGGCCATAGCCACAAAACTAACCTCCTTAGTTTAATTTTTTTTAGAATTTACATTTTGAGGAATCCCTGTATTCTTTAATCTTGAAATTAATGTTAAATCTTTAATAAGTTAAATTTATTATTTGGTCAACATGCTAGGAATATATATGATTCTTAGGTCCCTGAACAGGCTAAATGTCTTGCAAATGCTCCTATAGTTTCTCAGGGCCTGGAAGATGCTACATGATCCTAAGGGTGTCATTTTAAGTACCACTCCCTAGGAGTCTCTTTGAAAGAGCTGCTAAAACATAGCCAAGGCCAGGAAAAGTATTAAGGCAGAGTTTGGAAAATAAAAATTAGGCAAAGGGAGGATAAATATTTAACTTAGACCATTTACAGTAAGGCTTTGTGGCTGTGGTGTTTACGTTAACTTTGTAGTAGTTCTGCTTTTCACATCATGCTACATAAATATAATTCAGATTAATGGTTAAAAATGATCTAAAAGAGCAGCGAAGACCTTTATATTATGAGGTGGAAACAGCAAGTAGTAGGACAGCATTATGATCCCATAAGTGTCTACAAAGGTGTATATGCAAATGAAGAGATGTGATTAATAATCATAGCCAACATACAACCTACTTACCATGTAGCAGGCACTGTTCTAAGTACTAACCATAAAGTAACTCGTTTATATCTCACAACAACCTATAAATGAGATACAATAATTATCCCCACTTTACAAATGTGGATGCCTAGACACAGAAGAGAAGTCATTCTGGAGGTCATGAGCTCCTAGACGGCACAGTGGAGGTCTGAGTTTGTGCAGTTTGGCTCTGGAGCAGGTGATCTTAACCACTAGACTCTCTTGCACTTTTTTTTTTGGTACCATCAGTCACTTCTTAAGCATTATTCCATCTTTCTTTCTTTCTTGGAATATGATCATTTATTGGAGATGCATCCTCTGCTGGACTCTACATGACTGCCTCCTGTCTTAGCACAGTAAGGAGCAATTCTGTAATATGGTTAAATTTCTCCTTGCTCCCAGGTTATTCCCACAAGAGGCAGCTGCCCTAGAAAATCATGTTTCAGAAACCCACAGGCTGCTCTGACATTTTTATCCCTGCCTATCACTGGTAGTAGCATGCACTGCTTGCTTAGATCTCGAATCAATGTAACAGCAGATTTTGAATGTTAAATTCAAAGTCTGCAAAGACATACTGAATTTAAGTGTTTTCCTCTCAGAAAAAATAGGGACAAAGTGAGAGTTTAGTCCATGGAAGAATAAAGCTGCTTTCTCTCTTCTTCCCTTCCTGTGATTTTCAGTATGCAACATTTGCCATCAAAGCTTCAAGAGAACCTGAAGACCATCTAGCGATCTGACATTTCAGATGGGCCTAAAACTGATTAGTTTCTCAAATAACTTCAGTTTTTTGTGTTATGAATTTCACTGGTGTTTATTTCCCCAAATATCTCTATTATCACCTTCCCCACCCCCTTATGTATTACGTTAGGTTAAAATGAACTCCTCAGAATTTCCCCTCAATTTTATTATTTTCAAAAAGATATTTTATTAATATAACTATGTGATCCCTGATAAGCCCCATGACCATGATGTCATGTGATGTAAAGAAAAGAACATCGTTTTACAAATGAGAGGACTAATCATTCTGAGCCTGGATGATTTGTACAGAAAGCGGTTTAATATATCTTAAATTGATCTTAGTGCTTAAAAGGTAACCTTGATTTCTGTGGAAAATGTGTTAAAACTTCACTGGTGAATAAGCCAGAAATTAATCACTTTCCATTTCTAATCTGAAATCCTTAGAGTCTCATTCATTCAGATACAAGAACAGGAGGAAAGAGTCTATTGATGTGAAATCGATATCTTCTCGTGGCAGTGATGGTAAGAAGTTTTTTACATTTCTGTTACCTTTTAAAGCATAGAATGTGACAGAGCGGATCAATGCAAATCCACAAGAAGCAGGATTTCCATTAAACTAGCTTTTTCTTTTTCATTAGGTTGAAAATTTTAGGCTTATAAAATTCTTTCGCTTTTTCAGTCTTTGTCTTCTGCTTGAAATGACTCCACGTGTGTGTCTTGGTGGCTTGAGCTGTGCGGAGCCACGTAATCACCCAGGCGTCTCGGCGCCCCAGCAGCCAGCCGGTACTCAGAGTGGCAGAGGGGCGTCTAGAGCTGTGGCTTTCCAACTCCAGCCCAAACCTAGTTTTCAGTGACCCCGAGATACGCCCTTCTCTTCCCTTAATAAATTGTCACAGATAAACTGTGAGGCGGCATTCAGCAAAACACTTCTTTTTTGAGTTCCATCAGTCAGACCTTAGTAAGCAATTGAATTTACAGAGAGATGGGAAGGTCAAGATGATCCTGACATCTCGTTCCTAAGTGCCTGGGAAGACAGAGGTAACATTTTCAGGAATCGCGAAGTCTTAGCTATGCCGAGGTTGAAAACTGAGTGGGAACTAATGGGTTTTACTGCAGCGGAGATACCAAGGAAGCGGAAATGCAAGACTGGTGCTCAGGGCCACAGGTGTGGATTTGCAAGCACTGGAGGAGACAGATGAAGGTGTGAGCAGAGGAGCATCTCGGGGGGGGGGGAGTGTGTGTGTGTGTGTGTGTGTGTGTGTGTGTGTGTGCACAAGCACGCACGCGCGTGTAGGGAGGGAGAGGGAGACTGGCAACACAGTATGGAAGTCCAAGGCTTGCAGGGACACCCTCAGTGAGAGGGGAGGCAGGAGCTCTAGGGCCAATGAAGAGAACAGAGAGGCCAGAGACAAGCACCATGAGCACAGTGACATGTACCCCAAGAACAAGAGGGCACAGGAGGCAGCCAGCTGTGCAACTAGAGAGCTCAGCGGGAATTAGAGAGTTTAAGAGTTGGGAACAGGCTAATGGAATTCACTGATGAGGTTAATTTTTATTTGGCAAATCTGAATACAGATGCCAGGAGCAGGAGGGAGAGACGGTGACTGAGAGAGAAAAGCGCTAACTTCAGGGGATAAACAGGAAGGACAAGCGAAGGACTTTCAGTTCCTCAGGTCACAATGGGAAACTCAAGTGTAAGGGACACGGCTCAGCAAGAAAGGATTGAAGACTGAGATAAGATGGACAGTTCCTACAAAGAGGACTAATCACAGGGATGCGAGGGGTTGGGACCAAGAATGTAAACAGAGAAAGATGAATTGAAATTGAAATATGTTCAGATGGCTTGTGGGTGTAGACTGACTATTTCACATGGAGTGGGCAATAGATGAGGGAATCTCTAATCTGAAAATGGCTGTTTTCCGGAGTAGAGGTTGAGGACTCCCATCTCTCCCCGCACGGACAAAGGGCAGGCCGCAGGGTAGAGATGAGGCCGGCAGCGCTGCTGCTTTGGCAGGGGGAGGGCCCCCCAAGAAGGCTGAGCAGCAGCAGGTGAGGCTGTAGATACCGGCTCAGTTATCCCACCTGTATCGTACCACATGCTGCCCCGGCTGCAGGTCTCACACAGGGGTAGGACAGTCTGACCAGAATGGTATTTTTAAAGTAAAACTTCTTTCTACCTTTTGAAGTTTGAACCACACATAAGCATTAACTGCTCAAAACGAGTTTTAAATTATTTTAAAAAGAAAGGGTTTTTTTTTTTTTTTTTTTTGGCCAGACACGTAAAAGGTTTTATTAATCCTCTCATGAAAAATCTGCACAATCACCACAGATACAGATAAAGTCACTGCAGAATCTTTACTCTTTGCCAGCACCAGCATTGGCCTTTGCAGTCCCCCTGACTTTCTTCGTTCTGTTTTTGCGTTCCTTTCGCTGTTTTCTTGAGGTCGTTTTCTTCTCATAAAGGCCATGTCTTGCAAGTCTATGTTTGTGTTCATTTTTTAAAGGAAAAGTTTCTAAAGATTGAAGGTGGAACTGTGGCTTTTGGGTGTTAAGAACCTAAAGGCTCAGAAAAGTGAAGTGTCTGGCCCTAATTTTTACCGAGTGGGCTCATTTTTCTGCCTGGCCCCCCACTTTCCAAGGACCCTCTGCCCCCTACATGGTGCACAGTGACCCAGTTACAAGGCCAGTGGCTAAGGACTGAACGTGTGCAGCTGGGTCTGTTGAACTGTAGTGACTTATGGGAAAGTGATCCTAGCGAATCGTTCAGCTGTTGGGGCTCTAGAACCCACCAACCTCTTCTGGAAGTCCCATTATGGACCTGGGACTTGGAAAGCTGTCCTACCAGCAAAGTTCCAGGCCAGACAGTCCTTTCCAGGCTCTGACAAGTGATAGCTGAGCTGTCCGTCTTTTAAGAGTAAGAGGTGGCTGAATTCATTGCTTTGGGGGGCAGTTGAAGAGGGTAGCCCCATGAGAATCAGGTCCTCACTCCAGAGGGCTCCTTTGTTGTACTTAGCCAAGCTGAGCCGCCAAAACCAGGTACAACTCTCTTCTCTGCAGCCCCCAGCCTGCAGAATCGGCGCTACCCGTCCATGGCAAGGATCCATTCCATGACCATCGAGGCGCCCATCACAAAGGTAAGCGGCAGCGGCTGCCTCCACTCTGCAGCCGGGGCCCGGCTGTGTTCTGGTGGTAGAGTAACGAGTCTCCTACCACTGATGCCCGAGCGGTCACAGGCCGGTAGAGGAAACTGTTGAACACGCAGTATGGATATAAATGACAGCGCATGCTGGCAAGGAAGACACATCCATGGCAGGAAATGAGGCTCGAGGGTCTTTGTGTAGCGGAAAGAATGTTCGAAGACAGACCTGAAGCACGCGGAGATGTCAGAGGAGGGGTGGGAGGCGGCTCTGCGCAGCACCCCGTCAGGAGCGGGGCCTGAACCATCTGAGGATCGAGAGAAAGCCAGCGGCGGAGCCTGGGGAGCCGAGGGAGGGAGGTGGTGACGCGGGTTCAGTTCACTCTGGTCAGCTGGTCCCTATTAAAGGGCTTGTATTTTAGTTTTTAATGGGCACTGAACAGTTTAAAGTTAGGAGAGTGACATGATCAAGCCCGTTGACTGAAGAAACACCCAGTGACCTGTGGAGAATGGATCGAAGACACGAAGCCAGGGAGGAGAGACCAGTTAGGCGACTTTTCCAGAATTCCAACAGGGAATGTGCCCCTCGACTGGAGTCCTAGCAGCAGAGGCAGAGAGAACTGAGTAGACCAAGGAGTCGAGTCGGTAGGGGTAGAATCGATTGTTCTGGTGATGAATTATATCGTCAGGGTGGGGAGAGGAAGTGACATCCCAACCAGGGCATCCGAGGCCTGCGGCTGGAGCACTAGGAGTGTCTTTCTGACGTCCATGCAGAAACCAGAGAAGGAACACAGCTTTTGTCTTTGATTTTGTGTGTGTTTATTTGCTTGCTTTGGGGAGGGGAGAACAAGATCACGGGTTTAGCTTGGGACATGTGAGAAAGAGGTTCCAACAGATAAGCCAGTGGGCGAGTGAATTTACAGCTTGAGAAGGGCATGTGTATCCGGGAGCCCTTGGACCCTAGATGGGAGTGCCCATCCCAATGCACGTGAGAGGGCTGCCTCGGGAAGGAGGGTGGCGTAGAGAAAGGGCCACAACCAACCTCCAAGGAGCTCCAACCTGGACGAGAGACCTAGAGGATGACCAGCAAAGGGGCTGGAGAAAATGTCAACGCCGGGCAGGGGAGGCAGCGGGACGGGCTGGGAGAGGGCGCGCTTCAGTGCCAGGGGAGAGGTGCCACGAATACCTGGTTATTCTGGACGCTAAGTTGTTTCATCACCTGATTTCTGGATTCTCGGTATATGTATGACTCTTGAGAAGTAGAATCCTAAGGCCCAGAATTCACTCTTTCTTTACTTCCTCAGGTCATAAATATAATCAATGCTGCCCAAGAAAACAGCCCCGTCACAGTAGCAGAAGCCTTGGATAGAGTTTTAGAAATTCTGCGGACCACGGAACTGTACTCCCCTCAGCTGGGTACCAAGGATGAAGATCCTCACACCAGTGACCTTGTCGGCGGCCTGATGACGGTGAGCGATGCAGCCAGGGTGCAGGGGAGGCGACATTCCGTGCATTCGCGAGCACATGTGACTGTGACAGAGAAGCATCACCCGTGGTTGCAGAGATGCCCGCTGTATGGGCATGCGTGCCATCATCACCGCCAGAAGCATCTGCATCAAACTTTGTGTACTATTATGCAAGTACTATCTTTCCTTGAAGCTGACTGGCCACAGCCATGGGGACAGTCCTTCAGAATTTGTTTTAACGCTAAGGACTACCGAGGCAGCTGAGGGCTGCATGTGGATGATGGCGCCTCGAGGGGTGCAGCATTGGACTGAGGGTCACGGCTCCATTTCCTTGGCCCTCAGACTCTCATCTAGATAATGGAAGGGTTTGTGCTTAAGACTGCAGCATCAGTTTCGAAAATCCTAGCTGTGAAATTCTTTCTTTAAATGAAAGCTTGCGTGTCAGGTCCCATTTTTCATCAGTAACCGAAGCTGGTAAAACTCTTTGGGAGAAAAAGCCCAAGAGTCATCTGTGTGTTTCACTTCAAAGATTTGTCGAGCCCTGCTACCGAATGCCGAGTGTTGACTAGCTTTCTGATCCATTCTCCTTGTTCCTACTGAGGGTCCTGATGCGTTTGTAACTTCCTGTCCCTTTCCTGCCACCGGGACTGGTCTTGGCTGTCCATGCCAGAGCAGTACAGAGGTCAGCGCTGAGAACGCCAGCAGGTCCATCATCAGGCGGCCGCTGCAGGGCTGCAGCAGCAGGAGTCTGGGTCTCTTCCTCCCCAGTCCCTCCCCCCATGACCGTACATTATGGGGCTCCCTTCCAAGTCCTACTATGAGGAAACAGTATAGAATTCAACCTAATTTAAGACGTTTCAGGGAGGTAGAGAAAGAAAGGCAACGGAAAGAAGTGCCTTGCGATAGTGACCTTCAAGCCAGGGTGGTTGGGGCCACTGTGACTTACCTACTGCTCCAGTTTTAAATGTTAAACTCTTGGCCTAAAGATCCAAAATGAGACTGCAGGAGAGCCTTTCATTAATACTCTAACGCACGCTTTTTAAGGGTGACAGATAATTATTCATGACTTTTATTTATTTATTTTTTAATATTAAATTTTATTTTTATATTCCCCCATACAATTGCAAACGCCCCATTCTGACCCCAATCCTTCCCTCCTGCCCCCCACCCCCCAAAAAGTGTCTCTGGTTCATAGTTTTTTGTTGATTTTGATTTTCACTTTCTTATATTCATTTTCCTGGTCCCTTATTTAAGTTTTCTAGATTCCTGCTATGAGTGAGACCATCCGGTATTTTTCTTTTTCTTTTTGGCTTATTTCGCTGAGCATGATCCCTTCCAGTGCCATCCATGTTGCTGCAAATTGCATGTGTTTATCTTTTTTGAATGCTGAGTAATATTCCATGGTGTATATGTACCACATCTTCTTGATCCAGTCATCTATTTTTGGGCATTTGGGTTGTTTCCAAAGCTTAGCTATTGTAAACAGTGCTGCTATAAACATAAGGGTGCAGGTGCTCTTTGGAATTGATGTTTCTGTGTCCTTTGGGTAAATACCTAGGAGTGGAATTGCTGGATCATATGGAAGCTCTATGTTTAGTAGGTCCAGAAATCTCCACACAGCTCTCCATAGTGGTTGGACCAGTTTGCACTCCCACCAACAGTGCACAAGAGTTCCTTTTTCTCCACACCCTCGCCAACATTTGTTGTTGCTAGTTTTTTTAATATGTGCCATTCTCACTGGTGTGAGATGGTATCTCATGGTAGTTTTGATTTGCATTTCCCTGATTACAAGTGATGTTGAACATTTTTTCATGTGTCTGTTGGCCATTTGCATTTCCTCTTCAGAGAAGTTTCTTTTTAGCTCTTCTGCCCATTTTTTGACTGGATTATTTTCTTTGTTGTTGCTGAGTCTCATCAGCTCTTTGCAGATTTTTGTGATCAGTCCTTTATCATTAGTGTTGGGTGCAAAAATGTTCTCCCAGTTGGTGGGGTTTCTCTTTGTTTTTGTTATTGTCTCTTTTGCTGTGCAGAAGCTCTTTAATTTGATGTAGTCCCAGCTGTTTATCTTTCTCTTCACTATCACTGCTTTGGATGATGTGTCTGTAAAGATGTCTTTGATGTGCAAATCACGTAGTGTTTCGCCTATATTTCCTTCTATGTATTTTATGGTTTCAGGTCTTATGTCTAGTTCTTTAATCCATTTTGAGTTGATTTTTGTGTATGGTGTGAGGTAGTGGTCAAGCTTCATTCTTTTGCATGTAGCGACCCAGTTTTCCCAGCACCATTTATTGAACAAACTTTCTTTGCTCCAATGCATAGTCTTTGCTCCTTTGTCAAAGATTAGTTGACCATAAATCTGTGGGTTTATTTCTGGATTTTCTATTCGATTCCATTGGTCTGTATGTCTGTTCTTGTGCCAATACCATGCAGTTTTGATGATTATGGCTTTGTAGAGTTTTGAAGTCTGGGAGTGTGATGCCTCCATTTCCTTCTTTTTTTTCAGTAGAGCTTTGGCTATTCGGGGTTTTGGTGATTCATATGAATTTCATCAATAATTGTTCTATTTCTTTGAAGAATGCCATTGAGATTTTGATTGGAATAGCATTGAATCTGTATATTGCTTTTGGTAGGATGGCCATTTTAATAATGTTTATTCTTCCAATCCATGAGCAGGGGATGTCTTTCCATTTCTTTGTGTCTTCTTCTATTTCTTTTAACAGTGTTTTATAGTTTTCTTTGTATAGGTCCTTTACCTCTTTTGTTAGATTATTCCCAATATTTGATTTTTTTGTTTCGATAATAAAAGGGTGGTTTTTTGATTTCTTCTTCTTCAGATTTATTGTTTGTGTATAGGAAGGCTACTGACTTTTGCGTGTTGATTTTGTATCCTGCCACTTTACTGAATTGATTGATGAGTTGAATTAGTTTTTCTGTGGAGATTTTGGGGTTCTCTATGTATATTATCATATCATCTGCAAATAGTGATAGTTTGACTTCTTCTTTTTCTATTTGGATTCCTTGGATGTCTTTCTCTTGTCTTATTGCTCTGGCTAGGACTTCCAGTATTATATTGAAGAGCAGTGGTGAGAGTGGACATCCTTGTCTTGTTCCAGATCTTAATGGAATTGCTTTCAGCTTTTCACCATTGAGAATGATACTGGCTGTTGGCTTGTCATAGATGGCCTTTATGATGTTGAGGTATGTTCCTTGTATCCCAAGAATTTCAAGGGCTTTTATCATGAATGGGTGTTGCACTTTGTCGAAAGCTTTCTCAGCATCTATTGATATTATCATATGGTTTTTATATTTCTTTTTGTTGATGTGTTGGATAACATTGATTGATTTTCGGATGTTAAACCATCCTTGTGCCCCTGGAATGAATCCAACTTGGTCGTGGTGAATTATCTTATGGATACATTGTTGGATTCTGATAGCTAAAATTTTATTGAGGATTTTTGCATCAGTGTTCATTAGGGAGATTGGCCTATAGTTTTCCTTTTTTGTGTTGTCCTTATTCGGTTTTGGTATTAGTGTAATATTGGCTTTATAGAACGTGTTTGGTATTGTCCCTTCCTTCTCAATTTTTTGGAAGAGTTTGTGAAGGATAGGCACTAATTCGTCTCTGAATGTTTGGTAGAATCATTTGTAAATCCATCAGGTCCTGGGCTTTTGTTTTTTGGGGAGGTTTTAATTACCATTTCAATTTCGCTGCTTGTAATTGGTCTGTTTAGGTGTTCTATTTCTTCTTTATCTAGCTTTGGGTGATTGTAGAGTTGTAGGAATTTGTCCATCTCCTCTAGATTGTTGAACTTGTTTCCATATAACTGTTCATAGTAGTTACTGATTATTCTTTTGATTTCTGCTGTGTCCGTTGTGATTTCTCCTCTTTCATTTATGATCCTGTGTATTTGTGCTTTCTCCCTTTTTTTCCTTTGTGAGCCTGGCTAGGGTTTGTCTATTTTATTTATTTTTTCAAAGAACCAGCTCTTGGTTTCATTGATCTTTTGGATTGTTTTTTTAGTTTCAATTTCATTTATTTCTGCTTTGGTTTTTATTATTTCTTTTCTTCTACTGGTTTTGGGGTTTTTTTGTTGTTCTTTTTCTAGATCTTTGAGCTTCGAGATTAGGTTGTTTCTTTGAGTTCTTTCTTGTTTTTGATGTGAGCTTCTACTGCTATATATTTTCCTCTTTTACTGCTTTTGCTGCATCCCATACATTTAGGATATTGGTGTCCTCCTTGTCATTCAATTCAAAGAATTTTTTAATTTCTTCTTTGATCTCCTCGTTAGTCCAGTGGTCTTCCAGTAGTGTGGCTTTTAATCTCCATGAGGTAGGATAGTTCCTTGCCTTCTTTTTATGATTTATTTCTAGTTTGATGCCTTCGTGGTCAGAAAAGATGGTTGGTATGATTTCAATCTTGGTGTATCTGTTGATGTTTGTCTTGTGCCCCAGTATGTGATGGATCCTGGAGAATGATCCGTGTGCGCTTGAGAAAAATGTGTACTCCGTTTTTTTTGGGTTTAGTGTTCTATAGATGTCTGTTAAGCCCAAATGCTCTAGGTCCTTATTTAGAGCTTTAGTTTCTTTACTTATTTTTTGTCTTGTTGATCTATCCATTGTTGATAGTGGTGTGTTGAAGTCTCCCACTACATATGTGTTTTCTCTGATGTCTGTTTTCAGAGAGGACAACAGTTGTCTGATATATTTTGGTGCTCTTTCGTTTGGTGAGTATATGTTAATGAGTGTTATTTCTTCTTGAAGTATTGTCCCCTTAATCATAATGTAGTGACCATTGGGGTCTCTTTTTATTTTTTTGAGTTTGAAGTCTGTTTTATCTGATATAAGTATAGCTGTTCCTGCTTTCTTTTTTGGCCCATTTGCTTGTAGGATTGTTTTCCATCCTTTGACTTTGAGCCTATTTTTATCTTTTGTAGCTAAATGTGTTTCCTGGAGACAGCAAAAGGTTGGTTTTGTTTTTCTTATCCAGGCTGCAACTCTGTGTCTTTTTATTGAAGAGTTTAGTCCATTTACATTTAGATTTAGAGTTAATATGATATGTTAGCATCTGTATTTGCCATTATGTTTGTCTTTCCTTTGATTTTATTTATTTATTCTTTTAATAACTTTTTTTTTTTTTGGTCTTCTTTCGTTGTTATTCATCCCTCTGAGGTTCTGGCTTTAGGATTCCTTGTAGTATTTTTTGGAGTGGGGGTTTAGTCGCAATGAAATTCCGGAGTTTCTCTTTGTCTGGGAAGGTCCATATTCTTTCTTCATGGAGGAAAGAGAGCTTTGCGGGATAGAGTATTCTTGGTTGGCATCTGTTTTCTTGGAGTCTGTTGACTATGTCCCTCCACTCTCTCCTTGCCCGTAGTGTTTCTTCAGAGAAGTCTGATGTCAGCCTGATTGGTTTTCCTTTGAATGTTATCTGTTTCTTCCCTCTTGTCAGCTTCATTATTTTTTCCTTGTCCTGGATTCTTGGGAGCTTTACTATTGTGTCTTGCTGTGTTTTTCCTTTCGTCGTGGAAGTTTGGTGTTCTTCTTGCTTCTTGTATATCAATTTTCAGCTCCTTCTTCGCATTTGGGAAGTTCTCTTCAATTATATCCATGAATATTTTCTCTGTTCCTACATCTCTCTCCTCTCCTTCTGGAATTCCTATAACTCTTATATTTCCTTTCCTCATGGAGTCAGATAGTTCCCGAAGTCTTTCTTCATTCTTTTTCCTTCGTACTTCTCTTTCCTTTTCTGTTTTGGTTCTTTTTATTTCTGTGTCTTCAAGATTACTTATTCGTTCTTCCATTTCATCTATTCTGCTTTCTTTGCTTTTCCCAGAGTTCTTTAGTTCCTCCATTAATTCTTTGATCTCCTGCATTTCTCTTACTTCCCTCTTTAGGGACTCAATTTCCTTCTTCTGATCTATCACTTTTTTAATCATGGCAATTTTAAATTCTCTTTCTGGAAGGCTCAGAAGTTCTTCCAAGTTGCTGTCGTTGCAATCTGGGGAGTGGTTTTCTTTTTGTGGTGTGCTTCTTTCCTGAGGAGTTGTTAGGTTGCGTGTGGTTCTTCTACTCCCTACTGTCTGTTTTCTAATTTGTCGTATGCGTTGGGACACTGTGTTGCTCAGACTGACTGACATCTTGGGTGAACTTCTCCACTCCCCTCTGGCTCTTCCAGGAGCCATCTCTGTCTTCTGGGGGAGCTTTCTGCTGGTTTTAGGCAGTTTTTACTGAAGAAATGTCCCTGTTCTCAAATGGCGAAGCGGGATGCAGTCCCTGCGCCTCCGGTTTCAGGCACACTCTTCTGCGCACCCGGTCTGCCCCGGACGTGGGTGCCTGCTCCCTCTGTGGGCTCAGACTGCTGGTCAGAAGGGGCTTGGCGTGGAATAACTTCCCGGCTGGCCACTGGGTCCTCCAGAAGCCTTCTGCCCTTTTCAAGCAGTCTTAAGAAATTTCCTGTTTTATGGGGTGTTAGTGACTTTTTTTTTCCTGGTCGCTAGGTGGCGCCAGAGATCTCTCCTATTGTCCTTGGGGGGCTGTTTTTCGCCTCCCCCCACCCCGTGGGACAGGGAACAGAGCGGGAATGGTAGGGTACACCTCAACAGCTTTGGGGTGCTGTGTCTGCCTTGTGCCCCACCGTCGTGGGGAACCCACGCCCCTAATTTCGTGCCCCGGGTCTCAGTTCAAAGCCCTCAGTTCCAGGACGCGGGCTGTAGCCCAGTTCAGTGGCGCGGGAATGGCGCCTTTTGCACTGCTCCCGTGCCTGGGCGCCTGGTTCCTGCTCACTCAGGGAGGGACCTTCACCTCAGTGAGGACCTCCGCGCGTCTCCCCGCAAGCCTAGGTCGCAGGCGCGGGGACCTGGGCAGCTGTGATCCAGGTCTGCACTTGCTTTTCAAGCGCGCAGAGCGCGCCGCTTTCCCGCGCCAGCTTACCGGCAGCCCGGGCTGTGTGCACGTCTCCCGGGGTCTTTGTTCTTCTCTAATGGCGCCCGAAGCCGTTCGCTCACCGCTGCGGCGGATCCTGCAGGGTTCGCCTCAGCTCCCGTTCACGGGGTGTGGTGGCTGCAATAGTTCCTTTCCACTCCCAGTCCCGCTTGCTGCGTCGTTTGTTCTTGTGGGCCGTTTTGGTTTGTTGTTTTCCTCCTCTCTGCCGGTCGGAGAGTGCCGCCTCTGTGGGCGGGGGAGGGGAGCAGGGTTCTGCGCTTCCCTCCCTTCTGGTCCTCTTTTATGGCCACTTTCTTCTTCGGGTAGTTTGCTGGAGTCACCCGTTTATTTTCCGTGTCCCAGTTCTCACTGGGACCTGCCGCTTTTCCTCCCTATTAACTTTTTTTAATGGGAGATCTTACTCGCAGCGTCTCCTCGCCGCCATGTTGCTCCGCCCCTTAGTATTCATGACTTTTAAACAAAGATCTAAGCAATTGCACTCAAGTAGAACGCGTAGGAAGGGAAACTGAGATTCAAGAACGGGGGATAGTTCAAGAGCCTGGTAAATGTAGAAGAGCAGAATTCTCTCTGCTCCCTTATGCAGCCCTTCCAGAGACCTCAAGCCCAGAAATTTTTCTTCTAAAGCCTAGCAGCAGTGTTCATGTTGCAAAAGAGAAAATAGAGCTGAAAAACTTAGATATTAGTAAAAAATTAGCCCACCCTTTTTATGGCTTTCCATTAGATTAGCTTTCCCAATGTCCAACATACAAAGCTTAAGGATACAAGAATAAAACAATCTATATAAAGGTAAGTAGAGTCCATTCAGAATAACATGCATCCAAAGCAAAACCACTTGTACCAGTTCACTAACATTGCCTCAGCATGTCAGCAGAGAAAGCAAGCATGAGATGTTGCCAGCTCACATCTAAGGTGAGAGACCCGACTGCAGTCATACCCAGTCTGTCCTCAGCTCCGCACCTCTGGGGTTACAGTCTGAGAAGGAACAGTGTCCTCTAGGTCTGATTTGAGTTTCAGACTATGAGTTCCAGATTGTGTTGTTTAGGGTTTTCTTTGGCTAAGGGAAGAAATGAGGGTAATGATGGAGGCACAGAAAGTGTGCTCTAATCACATCCTTCTTTATTCCAGGATGGCTTGAGGAGGTTGTCAGGAAACGAGTATGTATTCACTAAAAGTAAGTTGGCACTGACTTTTTCGTTACCAGTAGCCTCTCCCCAGCCTGTGCCTTCCAACGTGTTGTGACTAGTGTTTGGGGAGGGCCTTGTTGTTACTTCCTGTGGGTCTCACTGGAGTGCAAGGATTTCTAGGGCCTACATTTGAAATCACGTGTACTAATTAAAATTATGTCTCTGCACATTGACAGAATAGGAATTAAAATATCTATACACTAAGAAGTCAAGAAAATTATTTTTCTGTTTGTCAAGGTTTTGAACTTTAATAATGTAAGAGAAGAATCTTTAGGTGAAAGTCTTCCTATGCTTGGAAATGCAAGACTTTCTTCCTAGTAACAACCATAAAGATGACCATGCTCAGGGCATGCAAGGCCGCACTGTTAACCACCTCCCCACCCATCCTCTCAGATGTGCACCAGAGTCACAGTCACCTTGCGATGCCAATAACCATCAACGACGTCCCCCCGAGTATCGCTCAATTGCTCGATAATGAGGAAAGCTGGGAGTTCAACATCTTTGAGTTGGAAGCTGTGACACATAAAAGGTACATGGCTTCTCTGGTTGCATGTAGGGGACACTGATGGCCGCTCTCAAGACTTTCACATTGGAACTCTGAGAAGACTTGAGTTCTTGCCACAAGACACCTCACAGCGTCTGTCACAAGAGACATGCTGGGGGAGTGTCAAACTAGCAGAGACACTGTGGCTCCTCAGTGAATTCCTTTACGGAGCAGTTGTTTAAGTGGGTAAGGTGCAGGGGCAGCCTGGTGATGGCCCGGGCTGAGGAAACACTGAGTGTCCTCCTTAGATCCGTCAGGCGATTCCTTTGTGGTAGTGAGCAAAGACCCTGAGTATTCTCAGCCCCACCTTGCTGAAACCCCACCTTACAAAATGAGTTTGTGAGTGCAGCAGACTTTTCTTTGGTCCCATTCTGTAGTCAGGGGAAAGAGAACTCAGAAAAGTCCTCTTCTATACTAGGAGAAGGCTACTACTTCCGGGGTACTGGTCAGGGAAATATGGATGATTCTCACAGGCAGTGAGAAACAGGCCTCTAGATGAATGACTTTGCTACGACAAAACAAACGGTTCCATTTGTCTTTAAGCTCAGTAATTTCCTCGGAGGCACAAAGAGCAGGGCTTGTGTGGTGGTTAGAGCCCCTGAAGAGCACATGACTTCAAGATAATCCAGAATCATCCTGATTGTCCTCCACAGACACCTAGTTGTAAAATGGGTAATGAAGAGGTGATCCACTCTCACCTTCTAATTTGGGACCGAGACACTTTAACACCCTGGTGCATGTGGAGTAAGCTTGAGGAGAAAATTGCCTCTATCCCCCAATATCATTTGAAGAAAAGTGTTTCCTAGCCAGTGACCACAACAAACCAATGTTTGTTCTGTTTTCCAGGCCGTTGGTTTATCTGGGCTTAAAGGTCTTTTCCCGGTTTGGAGTATGTGAATTTTTACACTGCTCTGAAACTACTCTCCGGGCCTGGCTCCAAGTGATCGAAGCCAACTATCACTCCTCCAATGCTTATCATAACTCCACCCACGCCGCCGACGTTCTGCATGCCACTGCCTTCTTCCTCGGAAAGGAAAGAGTAAAGGTAAAATTTTGATACCACGTTCTAGTTACCTCCCTGGATTGGAGATCTAAGGACTCAATTTTAATAACTACATCAAGCAAACAACTATCTTGCAACCAGTTCTGCAGCGGCGTCTGAGCTGACTCACTGATTGGCATCGTCAAATGACCATAGCCATCCCCTTGCCCAAATGCCTGAAAAAATAGTTTAGGCCACTATACGGACTCAACGTATCTAGCTGATCCATGAATCCATTCCCAAAATGTTCACTAGGATATTATGATATTAGGTTAGAGGACAGAACTTATTACTAAATTATTAGTTACTAGGTCTAGTTAAGTATTTTCATCAGAATTGGCCACTGGTATATTACAATTCAGGTGTAATGAGCCATGCAGCGTTCTGACAAGGTGTTTTTGTGCAGGTGTGAAGGTAAACATCTGTAGATTGTTACATAATTCTGAAAGAGTTCCATGTCCCTTAGTTTTAACAAATGAGGGCAATCCTTATGTGCTTTGACCATTTTCAGCATTACAGTGGTGTGTGTGTGTGTGTGTGTGTGTGAGCGAGCATGTTTCAGGTGGCTAGGCTGAGCTAGGACATCCAATAGGTTAGTATAATTAATGTGTTTTTAACTTACGGTGGGTTTACCAGGACAAAATCCCATGCCAGGATGAGGAAGATCAGATTGCCACATACAGGTGATGACCCATTGGGGAGCCCACGGGCTCACCATCACAGCTGGCAAGAGATCCCCACCTGCCCTCCAATCCAGCAGTCATCACTGTACAATGAAGCCGGTCACTCCTCTGCTACAATTAGATCTGAAGCTTAGAAAATAAACACCTCTGAGAGAAAAGCTGTATAGACTGAAACTGACATCAATCTGCAAGTGCCTGACATTAGATCACTTTCTTAGTTGTAAGACACTGGGCACATAAGGACAGTGTAGCACAACAGGTAGAAGGAACAGAAATGCCACCGAAATGGCACAGGAGAGGGAGGTTTCCTTCTCAGCTTCAATGTGGCTGAAGAATGCTTTTCAAGATATTTTATGTTCTACTTCAGCCTGTATTTCCTGTGGCAACTTCTTTGAGGAGCTGAGACTTTTCCAGTTTCCTCCTCTACTTTCCTCTGTTCCACACAGCTTCAGCTGACATTGCCGCTGCCACGTGAAGCCAGCGCACAGGGCACTGCCACCAACGCCAGTGACCTAAACCAGCTGCTGTAGTTTGCAGTCAGACATAAACTTCACGTAAGCACAACTGTTCTAGAAAAATGAAGTTAAATGCTTAATATATTAGGGAATGCTTAGTCGATTTACATCTCCCTTTCCAAAATAAGAATTTTTCTTTAAATGAATGCTAGTTCATTCAGAATCTGGTTGACTTTCTCAGCAATGGAAACAAGGCTGAGTAGACATAATATGCTTACAATTGGACATTTTCTAATTCTGATAGTCCCTGCTTTTAGATCTATAAGGAACCTTGGCAGATTGGACTGGAAGGGGCTCCTGAGCGCAGAGATTTTGCCAGAAGCCCACTGGTTAGTCCACCATGAAGCCAGGCAAGTGAGACTGATTCCTGAGGCCTCTTTGACCAGACCTGCTGGTGCTGATAGAGTCAGGAAAATGTTTTTACCAAATACCCATTATATTTGTCACCCCTAATTTGTTTATGCATAAGGCTAAAATTAGTATCACTAACACAGCTCCACATCCTCAATTCAGTCATACAGACAATGTGTCCAGAGCTGACAGTCCCCTTAGACTTGTTCTGGACACTTGTTCTGGATACTCACCCTGTTCTTTTTGGTCCTTGTGGGGGCCACTGGAAGTCAATAGGGCTGGCCAGCCAGCACTCCTGTCACTCTCCATGTGTAAGTGGTATTCATCTTTGATAAGGGACAGTGTGAAAAACTGATCTAGAATAGAGCCCTTCTAACCAGTCTGCTTCAGTGGGATCCAGACCTACTCCCTCTGGGAAGAGCAGGAAAAAACTATGCAGAAATGTCAACACTTCCAAGGGTTTGGAATTTCTCCTCGTGGGTTTGGGGTGAAGTTTTCTTCCACCAGTTTGTTCCCTTCCTTCCAGAGGAAGGGCCTTGCTTCATGTCTACTAGTGAGTGAGCCCCGTCTTGGCCTAACAGCACCCATTGTTCATCAGGTACTGTATCACGGACAGGTTCCCCACAACTGCAGTAGCCACATGTCACTAGGGGACAACACAGATATAAATATTTCCGTCACCACGAAGGTTAGTGCACAGCACTCCCCTAAACTAGACTAGACCTGATGTTTTTTTCTCGCACTGTGCTTACCTTCTTGGCGCATCTCACAGTTAAGTTCCTTATATTTGTGTTTTTTTCACTTGTCTCCCTAAATACATTGATCAGCACCAAGAGCGCAGAAAGCATGCCAGCTCCATTTATCAGTGTTGCTCCAGCACTGTGTGTGACAACCGGCAGCTAGTAAGCATCCCAGAAGTGCCCACTGGATGCACAAATTCATAAAGTACAGTGTCTCATATAACTAGCCCATTTGGTTAACTTCCTCCAAAATCTGTGAGTTGAGGGAAATTTGTATCCCCTGATACTCGGTTTATGTTCTTTAAATATGAGATCTACTCATCTAAAATCCTTTCAACTTTCTGTGAAGAGATTTATCTTATCTGTGCCACTGACTGCCATACTTCAAAATCTATTCAAAATAGGCAAATAACCCAGTAATATTTATGATCACAGGTCACTTTTGGCTCTAGCCACTTACGGAAAGAATCATGGCAGTGCCATACAACGGATTGGAAAAGGCCTGTTGGACATTCCGCCAAAGAAGTGGAATGGACTCCAGGGAAAGGATTTAGGAATCCATGCGAACTACATTTCAGATTTCTGTTTCCCTCCAGATAATCCACAGCACACCAAGGTGATGCAGGGTGCCCTAGGCCACGTTCGACTTCTAGGAAGTCAGAGAAGCCTCAACAGGCTGAGAAGACACTGATCATCCCGGCTCCCCTAGCCCAACCCCCCTCAAGAGATAAGGTCAAGTCTGAGCGTAGATCTCATACGCCCAGTGGGTAATGCTCAGCCTTGCCTCTTTCCCCCAGGGAAGCCTCGATCAGCTGGATGAGGTGGCAGCATTGATTGCTGCCACGGTCCACGATGTGGATCACCCGGGAAGGACCAACTCGTTCCTGTGCAATGCAGGCAGTGAGCTCGCCGTGCTCTATAACGACACCGCTGTCCTGGAGAGTCACCACACAGCCCTGGCCTTCCAGCTCACAGTCAAAGACAGCAAATGCAACATTTTCAAGAATATTGACAGGTTTGTTGGGCTTGGGCTCCTGTGCTCACGTTTTGTAAAGGATAAGAAACTCAGTTTTCCAAAACTTCTCCAAGTACTTAGCTTCCTCTTAGAGAAGTGGGGAAATGAGAATCTTTTTTGCCATTTGTGAGGCAATAGGATAAGCTCTCCCTTACAAATTTACACCGTCAGACTGTTTTCATCTTTTTAGATCTCATTTGGCCTTCAGTGAGTTCATGAAAATGGTTTATAGATACTGTAAAGTTTGACTATATTGCTAATTAGTTTTAACCCTACTCACTTGTGTGTGACTCAGAGAAAATGTATACGCTGCCATCTTTACCCAGCTCAATTTTCAGTCACTTAAATCCTAACTCATGAGAAGGTAGTATTCCACAACTCCCAGCAGAGCTTCGGAAGCCCAAGGGCTGGGTGGTTTCCCACTGTTTATTGTACTTCCTTCTGGTAAGTGTTGGCCCAGTGGAGACAAACAGGAGCAATTCCTTTCGTTGCTAGCAAGCTGTAGTCAGACTGTGGCTTTTCCCCACACAGCACCAGGCTGACTGGAGGGCAGCCTCCTGGGAGAGGGCCATGTACAGAGCTCATGAGCTCACTCCACCTTCATGGACCACTTGTCAACATGAACCTATCAGTCTGGTCTCCAGAAATTTGAGAAAATATGGAGGCCAGTTATTCTAGCTTTAAGTTCTATCAGTACCAAGGATTAAAGTTTTCACAAAGAATTCTTTGTAAGAACCAATTTTATTAAATTCCTGAGGACAGAAAAAGATGATAGGGACTGGACAGTAATATTGGATGTTATGTGGGTGTTACTGCATTCACTACAACTTCTAATTGTAACAGAAAATTCTTTATTGATGGGAAAACATTCTTTCAGTGACATCACCGAAAGACATGATGCCAATTCTCTATAATAGGAATCACTGTCTGCACTGAATGCAGTGGGACAGCTTGTCAGGTCGCTGTACCAGCCTGGTAGGGAAGGACATGTCATTTCCTTCCACCTCCTTGTTCTGTTGTTGCCAGGGGAAGCTAGAGGGAATCACCCTGTAAAGTAAGTGCCCACCATCTGATAGGGCCTTTCTTTTTTATACAAGCGTAACTCCTCTGAGGAAGGGCCTGCTATCATTTGGGCACTGGATGTCCCTATGTCCTGGCTTTGTGGGAAGAAGAGCAGGTAAACTTTTTTGTGACCTGCCCTAATTTCTTAACTCGGTGCCCCAAGAGGCCTCATGTTGTAGGAAGTGCAGTGAAATGGTAGCAAACAGTGCTAATTTTGGATACAATGTGAACCGAGGCCTTCTGTCTTCTGGTTATTTTAGGAACCATTATCGAACGCTGCGCCAGGCTATTATTGACATGGTTTTAGCAACGGAGATGACAAAACACTTTGAACATGTGAACAAATTTGTGAACAGCATCAATAAGCCACTGGCAGCTGAGGTAAGCATGTCCTAAGATACATCAGAGTATATTTCCACTATCGCCTACTCTGGCCTCAGAGCACTTTCCCTTTTGAATACAAGGTGGTTATTTGCTTGGAGTTGATAAAGAAGGGCTGAGAGAACTGGCAACTTGTTCTCCTTGGGACGAGAATAGATGTAACAGTGTCCATAGCAACTCTGAGTGTCTTCAAAAGCCCCAAGATAAAACTAGTGACAAAAGGAAGTAGGCCCAAAGAATATGATGGGCCCGCATGCAGCAGAGACTGGTATAAATGGTGTTTTAAGGGCTCCCAAGCTTGTTCTAATTGTTATTTGAGCTCTTGTAAGACCTCAAAATTGGAAAGTGTTTTGTTTTAAATAACTATATCCCTGCTGGTTTGCATTAAAAGCATAGTGATATCGAAATACCATATATTGTCAAATTTGGAGTGACTAGTTGGAAAAAAAAGCTATTTTTACATTTTTAAATTTACTGGGGTACTTTGTGCCCTGTCTTAAAGGCCCTACAAAACTGGGTTTTAGGAATAATAGAGGTGGTGCACATCTTTATTGTATAAAATGAAATCAACTAACCCCTGAAGCCATGAAGCTGGTCAGACACATGAAGTTATAAAGAAAAGCTTTCTGCCTGTTTCCTGTCAAGCAGAAGAGATTACATAAGTAGATGGATGATGAATGGTTGTCTTAAAAGTAACCTGATGATCAGTAAGGAGACTGTCTGAGTAGGACCATCACTACAGTCTAGATGGAGGGATAGTGGCAGATTATTCTGCTGCGTCGCCCGGGTATTCCACACCACGTCAGGCCCTTGCCTTCCACAGGGGCCTTATGGAAGCAAAGCTACACGCATAGGATTTTATGGAACTGTCTGTCCAAGTAAGCCCCTGACTCTATGTTGAGATCATTTACTGCAGTATCTATAATAGTAATCAGTCTCTTCTGAATGGTAAATGATCAGAACCACCATTAGAACATAATTCTACTCATTAATGGTCTCATAAACAGGTCCAGTCTCAAAACAAAAGGAAACCCCTTAAATGTCACACAGTCGTTCAGTTTGGCATTGTTCTAGAGAGTTTTATGCAATCAAGTTAGTGGTTTCTTTGAAAGCAGAGAACAGCAATCTTCCAGATAAGCTTATAACTGCCTTGTATTTTTGTAAGCCTATTCGAATACCCGCCCCCGTGGTGCACGACTACTGCTGTCTATCACTAGTAAGTACTAGGCTTGTGTGCACTAGCATAATCGGTAGAAATAAAATCATCGAAGGGGCACATGTTTTGTGTTATTTCCTCACCTCTAATGTATTAAGTAACAAGTTACACTTTAACACCTTTCCTGATAAACTAGAGAAAAAGCTCTTTAAAAACAAAGCGTTTGTAGAAGTTACCTCTGGGAAAAAGGATGGAAGTGAGGGGCAGGTAGGTGGTGCCAGGGACTTCTTACCATTTAAACTGTTTTTCTCTTGCTCTTTACCAGAACATACTGGGTGTGTTACATAAGGACTTAAGGCCATCACCCTCCTTCGCTGAATCCTACTCACAGCTGGGCATGCTCCTTTAGTCACCATTTCATGTTTGCTTAGTGTGATTTATCAGCTTCCTAAGGCAGCCCTGATTTGACATGTTTTCCAGGTTGAGGGCAGCGACTGTGAATGCAACCCTGTTGGAAAGAACTTCCCTGAAAATCAAATCCTGATCAAGCGCATGATGATTAAGTGTGCTGATGTGGCCAATCCATGCCGCCCTCTGGACCTGTGCATTGAGTGGGCTGGGAGGATCTCCGAGGAGTATTTTGCACAGGTGCACTCTCTCTCTCTAGAGAAGCTTCAGTTATCCTGGGGAACAGAAGCCAAGTCAGAGCTCTGGGGAGTTTCCCAGTAGTAAACTAGCCCTTCCTGGGAGGAAATGGTTCACCTGTGCCTGGAGTAGACTTCCGGTTCCTGCAAGAGACTGACTGGGTGTCACTAACCAAAGTCTCTCTAGAGGAAGGGGATAATGGAGCCTTTGGAAAGGTGTTAGATCCTGAACTTCAAAAAACTGGGAAATCATTATTTTATGATGTTCTTGGTGCAGTATGAAACACAGAGATATGACTAAGACAAATCCTGCCACGGGTAGCTCCTAATAACATAGAGGAGAAAAGACAGATAGGGCCACATGGTAGTAAAGAGTGAAAAGTATCTCCAAAGGAGGAATAGGTCAAGTGTTGTAAGAATTCAAAAAAGGATGTTTTCCTACAGGAAAGAGGGGTTTGTGGAAATGTTAGAGCCTTTTTTTTAAGGATTACAAAATGTACAGCTAGGAAAGGACTTACTGTGAGACCCGAGCATTAGAAGCAGAACTAGTATGGAGGGGGAAAGAGAAGAGCAGCAATCTGAAGCTGACTTTGGCAAAATGAAGAGAGGAGTTAAAGATGAAAAAAGTCCAAACTGACTGCAAGAATACTTGAAGAAAGAGGCTTAAGTCCAGAGAAGAGGCTCCCAAGGATTTGTGTGTGAGAAAGATAGAGGAAGACAAACGCACTGGCAGGTCCCAGTAAAGCATGGGGGGTGGGGGGCAGGGAGAGCATCCATATGGCTCAATTCAGGGAGGGTAAAGAAGAGCTGGTGGATTGGGAGGGGAGTTGGCCAGTGGAAGCCACAGTAAATTAAGTGCAGCTTTTAAGGCTGGGAAGAAAGCCCCTAAATTAAAGTAGGACAGGCAGCTCTCAACTTGCAAGAGGAGGGAAAAAAACAAACTACTCCTTGAACAACAGTAGATATTTTAACGCCACTTGATTGACTTGAAATGTGCAAGTTGAGCCAAAAACCTAGTAGATGGTCATGAATGGGCTTCCCAGAACCCACAGAGAGAACGTCAATGAGAACACTAAGTAAAACTGGCTTTGTCTTTGAAGTGCAGGTATACGACAATGCACAACAGTACAATGACTATTGGTAGTCTCATGTCAGTTCTTTGATTCATGCTAAGGCATCAGAAATTTTACCCTGTATTGTCTCTGCACCCTGTAAATGACAGCGTCAATTAGGATTATCTGTATTAATATTACTAGTATTATTTAGAAAATAATCTCACAATAATGAAAACATTTAAAAAAAAAAAAAGTATCAACTGTGAAATCTGTAGTACAGCATAAAAGACTTCAGGCAGAAGAAGTGAACTTAGTCACTGCAGCTCATCAAGTAGACTTCCATAAGCCTCAGTACCATGCTGTGCCTGTTTCTTCATGATTACAATTGTTTGATGACTGTTTTCAGGGGGTTGTTCTGAGAAAATAGATGCTACCGTGACAGCTTCCTGTGTGCCCTACAGCCCTGCATGTGTTATTTCTTACAGACTGATGAAGAAAAGAGACAGGGGCTCCCCGTGGTGATGCCAGTGTTCGACCGGAATACCTGCAGCATCCCCAAGTCCCAGATCTCCTTCATTGACTACTTCATCACGGACATGTTTGATGCTTGGGATGGTAAGATAGTTCATGTTTTGTAATCTAAGATGATTACCTTTAATGAACATCTGCTGGGCTGACTGATGTTATTTTTCAAAAAGTCAGCTGTTTAGGGCAGGTGGGGTGTGGTGCACAGGAGCTTTCTGAGTCCATGGTACCTGGTACAGCAATTTGTGGATGAAAGACTCAATGGCTGTGTGATAGCTAGATAAGCAAGTTTTTGTCTCCTCAAGCCATGTTTCCAGCAGCTTTATTCTATCACTGGAGGAAACTCTAGAACACAAAATGTAGCAAGTCTCCTCAGAATCACAGATTATTCTGATGTCACAGATAAACAGCTTTCAACTTTTAATTAAAAGGACCTGTTGGTATTTCAGAAGCTTTCCTAACTCATGAAACTTCACAGAGTTTTAAATGTGCATTTATTTTAAAAGCTCAGTTTAAAATTATTTAAGAGTGAACTTGGGCCTCCCTGGTGGCGCAAGGGGTTAAGCACCACACTATGAAGCAATCCAAAGCCTCTGCAGCACGAGTTCCATCCCCGGCCAGCCAGGGAGCAACCCACATGGCGCAGCAGCCCTCTCCTGTCTCACCCGCTGCTCCCCTCAGCAGTGTATTTCAGTCATTCTGCCTGCTCTGCTCCCTGCCCTGCTCTGTCTCTGGTAAATCCTCTCACCCCAGCATCTCTGGCCTGTACCCCAGCTCTTGCATGCATAAATAAATCTTTTTAAAAAAAGTGAAGTTAATGTGTATATTTATATATATTACATTAAGTTCACTCCTAAAAGCTCAGTTCCAAATTTCACACAGTTGACTCCTGTTTACCTAATTCACCCCTCCCTATTTTTCTTTTTCTCAGGATTGTTTTGGCTATTTGGGGTCTTTTATAGTTCCAAATACATTTAACAATTTTTTCTTCCTATTTCTGTGAAGTGTGTCATTGGGTTTTTGAGAGGGATTGAATAATATATTGCTTAAAATAGCTATTTTAAGAATATTCTTCCAATACATGAGCAAGGCATGTCTTTCTGAGTCTTCCAGGGTATTTAATTCTTTTTGCTGTGATTGTAAAGGGGGTTGTATTCCTAATAGTCTTCTTTTGATTCCTTTTTGTCCCTGCAGCCTTTGCACATCTGCCAGCCTTGATGCAACACTTAGCAGATAACTACAAACACTGGAAGACATTAGATGACCTAAAGTGCAAAAGTCTGAGGCTTCCATCTGACAGCTAAAGCCAAGGCAGAGAAGGGGACCTCTTGATCTACAAAGGGCACTGTGAATCACAGTAGTGTAAAAAGGCTTTCCTTTATCATGAAAATGACAGGTATAGGTTAAGCGGATAATGTTTAATATTTGGTATTTAATTATTCAAGTCCCCAGGTTTCATTTTTTGAAAGTTATGTTCTATGAAGGAAAAATTCTTTTAAATACTTACTGACAGAACAAACACATGGCAAACTCCTGTGCTCTGCTGTCATTCTCTGTACCCTCATCAAACCAAAGTTAATTTGCTGTCCAATAGGATAAAAGCAGCAAAGATTTGGTCCTTATGAGCCTCTCTGTGGATGATGACCAAATAGCTCAGCTCATTTCTTACCGTAAGTTACCATCATTATTTAGCTTGACTATTTTCTTTAAGAGCATCGTCTGAAGGATTTATAAAGTGAGCAAAGCAACTAACTAGCTTCACAGCCTTGGTTGTTCTTTCAGTCCGTGGTGTTACATCAAAGTTAAACAGTCTTGACCTTGTGAGTGTCCTCTCTAGCTTGGTATTTAGCAACCTGAGTCACCCACTTTCTTGTAACAGGGATTCATCCTAATAGAAAGCCATCCATGACAGGGAAGGAAGCAACATCTGGTTCTGAGGGAGTCATAAGGCACTATATTACATAAAAGCCATTAAACGGAATGCCCTTGGACAAGCTTTTTTAAAAAAAAAAAAAATTTATATACATTTGCTGTCATGTTGAAACATGAAAATTCCATTTTTATTAAATTTTTATTAAAGCAATTTGAATTTTTTGGGTATAACCATGGAGTATGTTGTGCCGTGTACCATCTCTACATATATATTTGGGGAGGGGATGGGGAGAAAGTTCAGATATTTTTAACCGATCTATATTTAAGATCACGCCATTTTGCTTCAAAGATGTAAAAAAGGATCGCAAGACGTGTAAATATCAGAAAAACAAGCTAATGAGAAAGCAGTAAATACTATTTTAAGCTATTGTATGCTAAAAGCTTCTGAAGCACAAGTGCATATTTTTATACAGCTCTTTTCACAACTTTCTGTGAGCTACACAAAGTCAACTTGAGATTTTCCTTTGTCAGCCCTTCTCTATATGTATTATCACTCTTACCAATTCAGTAAATGAAATCTTCATTTTGCTTTTAAATTCTGTGTATGGCATACCGCATTTTTAAGAGGTACAGAGTGAATTAATTGAACCAGTAGTTTTATAAAATGAAAAGTGGAATGCAGGATACTTGGAACTACTACACTGGAAAAAAAAAAATGACTATCACTACATAATGTGCCAATTTTTTCCTGTTTTGTACCAAAAAAAGTAAACATGACAATTCCATGCAAAGAAATGTATCTAAATTATTTTTGTTAGATAAGAGAATTTGCTTGGTAAGGACAACAGCCAGCTTTGTATTGTAATGTTGCATTATGTAAATGTGATAAAAAATGTTTTTGTGAAGTACTTGTAACTAAATTCTTACAGCCATTTTTCAGTCCCAACACCTTTTTATTTTCCTACTTTGGCCTAAATTTTTCATAATTTCAAAATTTCGGTTTAGTGTCCTTTATTTCCTGAGTCACCTTTTTTTCAGAACACATTAAATCCAGGATGCCAGAATCCATTTTAAGGAGCTAAATAATGTGTTTAGCTTTCAGCAGCTTATTTGAGGCAAGGACAATCTTTTTCTGACCATCTTGCTTTCAGTTCCTTTTGGTAAGTATCATTTAGCCAGCTGTCTGACATTTCTATACGAACGTTAAAGCTTACCCGATATTATTCCTTTTATTTAGCTGCTAGCTAAACAGTAGATTTCTCCACATAGTGAATTTATTAAAAATACAGTCACTCAAATGGTGTATGTATCAGATTGGTATGAGCTATTATAACTGCCTCCTCTACTGAGTTGTTTATTGAAACATTCTGTTCTGAGGAGAGTCTTATGGAAAATGCAGCACAACCTGATACTATAATTTAAATGGTTAAATTTGCTTACCTGAATTAGCAAAGAATAAGTCTTGTCAGGTCTGTGGGAATCCACTGAATCTGAGAGGAAAAAAAATAGAAGGGAGATCTACTTCCCCCTAAAGTTTAGGCTTCTGACTGTTATGTGAATATAACCAGAGAATGAGGGAGTAAAAGGATTTTAAAAGAACTGGACAAAGGACTGTACAGTGTTAATTTGGAGTTGCAAATGTAGTGGTAAAAATGCACATAAGTACTGCAATTGAAATTGTAGTCTTCTAAATTAAAAGTTTGGCTATTATCAGCAGTTTACATATAACTACTGAGCAGCTCTGAATCACTGCCAGAATCTTCTAAGTTTGCCTTTGTATTTCTAACTCTGAGGACACTCATGAAAGCAAAAATCATACATTCCAGTGCATGGGTTGGAGGCTTCCCTTGAGATCCTAACAGGGATTTCTGGTGATCCTTATGGTAATGTTTGCTCCTGAAATTCACCTGTGGTTTGCAGCACTTGTTTTGAATAGATACCATCACAAAATACTAGCAGAGACGGCCTCCCCTGGTGGCGCAGTGGTTGAGCGCTGGGCTGCGAGGCTGCCCGCAGCCTCTGCAGCGCCGGTTCGATCCCCGGCCGCCGGCGAGGGTCCCGGTCCAAGATGGCGTGGCAGACCTTTCCTGCCGCGCCCCCTGCTCCCTTCACCAGTGGGCGCGGCAGATGGCCTGCCGCGCCTGCTGCTCCCCTCAGCAGTGTATTTAGAAAAAAAAAAAACTAGCCCAGAACAGATTAGGGAATAATTCAAGAAGACCTTACAAACCCATGATCCAATAATAGAGAGTTTTCAAAAAAGGTAGCAAACAATGGGGTAGAGCTCATTTATAAAGAAAATCATAAAGCCTGAAACACTCAGATTGAATGTCTGCCTAGTTTAAGAATATACTACCTCATGCTCCAATTTCAAAAGATTAGAAATCAGCCTCTGTGTAACCCCTCAAAAACACCATGATAGCAGTTTGTTGCCTAAAGGCAATGTTGATTTTCCTATTCATGTTCTTCTATAAATGGAAGTACCATAAGTTTTAATATAGGCCTCCATGAAATTTTCACTGCTAATTAAAGTAGAAATAATGACTGAACACTACTTGGTTTTCTTCATATATGGAGTGGAACTTATCTAAATCTTTAGCTCTCATTTCAGTCCTCTTCAATACCTGTTTCTTAACTCAGTGATGATATGGGCACTATAAAACTAACATTGCAAAACCTTACCTGAACTGGGCCTCAGTTATAACATTATGGCAATGGTCTAGCCAAGATGACTTTAGCTCTTCCAGTCTTTGTACGTAGCTGTGGAAGCTCCTATCGAAGGTAAAATTAATGAAAGTAACATTTTATAAAGATTCCATTAAGGGTATGTAGGTGATAACTAGTCCTCTAACATATCAGTCACCCTGCGCTTTGCTTTAGTAAGATTTTTATCAGTAATTTAACTCCATAATTAAACCCACCTATTTTTCAATGTATGGACACTATTTTTTATGATTTATTCAGTACTACCAATAGGGAGAAAGAAAGTATCCTCTAAGGCCAGTGGGTGATGAAGATGATTGGTCACTATAAGAAACTACCCAAGTGAAGCTTTCTTAAGCATTTCACATTTGAGTCAAAGGTAAAGTGAATCAGGCACTTCAGCAACAGTTTACCGATCTCTCATCCCTGTCACATATGAGGGGCAGTTGCTGATTTAATACTTATCAAGAAAACTGTTCAGACCAATTCATACTAGAGAAAAAAAAAAATACATACTCATAAGATTAAGTTTATAGGGATTTCAGTACCCAGAACTAAAAACAAAAAAATAAATTCAATGGGAAACAACCTCCCTCCCCCACAAAAAAAGTTGCAGTTAAACAGTGAGAGATTCCATTTTGCTCCACAGAACAGTGATATATGTTATCAAATACTGGGGTGATTTGGGGAAAAAAAACTAGTAAGTGCCTTAACTTTACTATTAACTCTTATTTCTACCTCCTCACAAGGTTTAGGTTTAAACTAGAGAAGCTCAAAACATAGCACCCACTTCATCAACACCAGCACTGAGATTACTATGCAATCTTCATTGCCAACTGGATCAGTTTAAGACACACTACATCCTACCTGTTTTTCAGTGAGGTTTTCATTTTTCTCCCCAAATACCTTCCATAATTATCAGGTATATTTCTTAATTTTTTAAAGGAAAGAACAGGTATAATTAAAATATTCATCTTGGAAAACAAAGTATTTCAAACTCCAAAAGGCAACATGGAAGAAAGTACGTGTAACTTTTTAAAAACCTAAATTATGAATAGAGTATCTTTAACTAGAGACAATAAAATTATACTAAATAGAAGTTTTAAGTACTAATCTTATTAAATTTAAGTTCATTCAATTTCTGGTGTAGAATTTCTTTATAGAATAAAAATAATTAAGGATAACCCATAATTTCATTTTCTATCAACAGATATTTGTGCTTTGGTCTGAAACCTCACTGGTAAAATTAGAGCTGTTTCCTCAGTGGTTTCAGCTTACTGCTATAGAAAAGTCCAATAAAAGAGTCATCGTATATTCTTTAGTGATGGGCTAACTTGAAAGACAACTTGATGCTGGTTTACAGGCCAACAAATAAGAATTCAAACTAACAGAATTTTATGGAATGACAAAAAATTGTTACAAATTTAAGTGACAAATAGGTTAATGGTGTTCAGAGAATTACCCAGTATATTTGATGGTCAAGATTCATGCATTTGATGGTCAAGATTCATGCACAAGTATCTAATTCCTTAAACTAGACAGCAAGATACAAGTTGCCATTCTCCTCTAATTTTTGAAATAATCTTAAACTGCGCAATCCAGATTCTCGTTCTCCATTTTTCCACAAAATGATGAGATGATCGGCAGAGCATGTCACTAGCCCATGGTCTTCAAAGTATAGAAACATCTGTAAAGAAATTGAAAAATACTAATTCTAGGAACTTCGAGGAGAACAGGTTAATAGAAAAACATGTGCTAGTAAGATATGTAACCTTGGAGACTTCTTTGGACCTGAATTCCTTTTTCATGAGATTTTTAACTAATAGTCACAAGTACTAAAAAATATAACTAGTATTTTAAAAATCAGAACTTCTGCAGGGGAATCGGAGGGAGGGGGGGAGAGAGGAGCACAGTGGACTGAGGTGATGGTGCATGGGTGCACTGGGGAAGGAAATTTTATGGGGACTACACCTGAGGAGGTGAGGGGAAGCAAATACTATTTAAAAATGAACAGTGATGTTAAAAAAAAATTATTTAAAAAAAAAAATCAAAACTTTGTTGTGCCGAAACACAGAATTACATGTAAGTTATTTTTATAAGATATGTGAAGTCCAAAAATATCTCCTGAGTGTTAGCATAATGTAATTCAAGTATTAGTTTTAAGGTGGTCAGGATAGGTCCTGCCAGTCTTGCTTTACTTAGTCATCTGAGCATAAATAATGAGGCAAGTACAAATGATTACTAATAAAATATCTGAATTCTTCAAGATAAAAGGAGATACAGAACTCCAGGAGCATCTACTTGAATGTCATCTATATGCTGAAGGTCGCTACACTCAAGAAGGTTCTGCTTCAGTTAAAACAATTAAGATACCCAAGACTGTAATCAGGCATTAAATAATGTAGTACAGAGTATGATTTGCCACGGAAATTTAGAAAAGGTATAAGAAAATAAAAAGTAAATGAAATTATTAAGCAAATCTTTATAAAAGGCAAAAACCCTTCGCCCAGTAAAGAGTTGGTAGTAGAGGGAAATGAAGTCATGGAAAGAATGAGCTCCTCAAAGCAGAGTGAAATAAAGGTGAGAAACAGAACAACAGAAGGAGAATTTTCTTGGAAAGAACTTTCACATTTCTGAAGATAGCAGGATATGGCCTCAGCAGATGATATAGGATGAAGGGACAAAAAGACAATTCAGTGCACAGTAGAGGAGCTGGGCTAAAGGGTAAGAATGAGAGGTTTCAGGAGTTAGCTTAGATTTTTCTCAATAAAACCAGAGAAATAAGTTTTAAACAATGCTTGAGCATGGATACTTTCACCAAGGAAAGTTCCTAAGAATCTGACACATTTACATTATGACAAATAGACCACTCTGAAGGTTTCCCCCACCATTTAAAAACTTTTAATGGGTTCCTACTATTTTAAAAAAGTCCAAACTCCTCAGATTACAGGACATTCATAATCTGACCCAAGCCTACTTGCCCAGGTTTTAATTCCTTCTAATGTCTGTTCACAGGAACCCTGTGTTCAATATGCTTCTATCTTTGCTCTTCTCCGACAGTCCATGCTCAGCACTCTAAAAGTACACTTATAACCACCTAAGCAAACACAAAAAGTTAAAACAAAATGCAAACAACTGGGCTACCTGTTAGAGAAAAGCAAAGATGAGTAAAACAGTGAATCAGCATCAAGTAGTCACTGTCTGCTACTCACCTGAGGTCACCATAAACATTTCAGGTTAATAGCTTATTAGATCTGTATCCCTCCTCTCTACTACAGTATGAGATCCATGAAGGCAAGGATTGCATTTTTGTAAACTCCAATGTCGAATCTACTGCTCAGTAGCAATTGTGGTGCTGATACTTCTAAGCATAAATTCAATTTTAAATGAAAATTTGTTCTTCCTTGGCTATACAATTGAAGAATCATTTAAGAAATTCACTCATACTGTCATCATCATCATACTATCACCACTTCCAGTGATCCCTTTATCACTACTGTTCTTACCCTTCACCACAAACAATGGTGCTATAGTAAATATTAATGTATTTGGATTATGCAAGTTAAAATTGTATGCATCTTATAATTCTCAGCTAATTCATACATGCACAATGATAAGACACTGTTTTACTAAAGGTAACTATTCTTCAAAGGGAGGTGAAAGTAGTAGCACTCTGTTCATGAATTTAATAAAGGCCCCTAGAATTAGATTCTATAAGACAAACGCTACACAACCCTCAATCAACCTCTACTTACTAGTATTATAGAATCAACATGATTCACATTGTCTTTTTCATCAGCTATCTCCATTTCTTCAGCAATAGTGAATAAGTCCATTTTTTAGAAGCAAACATATGCCTTGAGTCAAAGGGAGATCCTGTTTGTATACAATATAACCTATCCTAATCCATATTTAAATTCAGCAAAAACCCACACATAAGAGATGTATTAAGTCTATGACACCAGCTGAATGAAGAGCAGTGAGATGCAAAAGCAGAGCTCCCTAGACATTTACATGCCTACTGGAAATAATACCTCCACAGAAGATGAGTGTCCAATCAAATCTCCAATAAGCTCCAGTGAGCTTGAGGTGACACTTTCTTGTTTTTTAACAGGCTGACTGGCTTGTTTGCTCACTCTTCCAAATCCCCACATATTAAAAAAACCTAGAGAAACAATAATGTCAATCATTTCAAAATTACTCTGTTCATTACCTATGACAGTATTATGAAATCAGAAGAACAAAATTTTTAGTCCAGGGTTAGGTTATACAACTCTATGCTAGATTCAAACATGTTACTTTATTACATCTTTCTTGGTTAACCAGGTTTGTTCCTCCTCTCTTTTTATTGCTCCTACTCACACCTGTGAAAGTATGTAACTATGATTGCGTTCTGGGAATAAAACATGAGAAGTCAAAGGCCTGAATGGCAGTGTCAGAAAGGGGAGAAAAAAGGTCACAAGTCATTATCTATCAATGAAGGGTAAAGAAATAGCAAATTGAGTGTCAAAATTAATACTCCAGAGGTCAGCATCTGATTTCTTATACAAAGGTTGACAACTGGGATTTTCCTTCCCCAAACACCTGAAAGCCCAGATTTCATGAAATTATGACAGAAAGACAAATGTATTTTTCCATACACTGAGCTCAATGTTAATGATAATGCTTCATGACAGAAAAAACATTGTAGCTAGGCATCTAACAGTATAAATTCCATTTGTTATCAGGCAGGATAAGACAATATAAAAGCAGAATGAACTTCATTAGGTTATTGGGTCAGATTACAGAAAACAGAGTTTCCCTTCACAACAAAATCCCAGTTGACAGGAATGGAAATAAATGCGTAGTTCTGCATTAAGGCAATATTAAGAGGTGAATCTTAGATCCCAATATCCTACCATATGCTTCCTGTAAACACTGTTGCCTATTTGGAGCATATTGTATGTCATTCCTGTGGTTAAACATTCCTTTCATATGAGAAAGGAAGAGACCAGCTTTTGAGAAAAGACACACCTGTTGGTACAGGTTCGGCTGTAAGCTGCTGTTTTTCTCGTAACTCCCAAATGCGTACACTGCCATCTTCTGAGCATGAGATTAACTGCCTGTCAAAACAGAAAAATGATAAAAAAAAGAGTACCATGGAGAGCCAATGTGAAATTTGCAGTGAAAGATATCAGTGGAGCCTTCAACTGCTTTCATTCAGCTCTTAGCAGCTGATAAAAAAATCTCAATTTACCATGATTTTGCAATGCAAAGTAAAAGCACTCTTTAGGAAATGCCCACATTATACTATATTACAGTGGCTTAAATGTTATAAATAATATCTCCATTAAAAAAATTCATTCAGGGGCCTCCCCGGTGGCGCAGCGGTTGAGTGCTGGGTTGCGAAGCTGCCCACGGCCTCTGCAGCATCGGTTCAATCCCCGGCTGCTCCCCGGCCACTGGAGGAGGGTCCCACATGGCCCGCAGACCTTTCCTGCTGCCCGCTGCTCCCCTCAGCAGTGTACTTCCGTCCTTCTGCCTGCTCTGCTCCCCGCTCTGGTGAATTCTCTCATCCTCCTGCGCTTCTGACTGTACCCAGTACATGTACAAACAAAACAAATAAATAAATAAAATACATGCCTCTTTAAAAATAAATAAATAAATAAATTCATTCAGAAAAGCAGAATATGAATTACACTTTCATGGTATCCTGAGCAGTCCCCTTTCGTCTTCTTACTGTATTAAATTCTCAGGGTGCCTCTCATTCTCAAAGTATCCTAAGAGAAAAATACACCTATTCCCTTCATGTAATTTCATCCTTAGAAATTCAGCAGCCAAATTTACCCAGAGAGGAAAGCTGTGGACAACAAGGAGACTATCATTTGATTCTAGCCACTAAAAGACATCAATAAAAAGGTGGGTCCATTGGGAAATATAAAAAGAAAAATTAGTACCTACTAAGTGTGCAAAAGTTTACTTTTTTAGATAAATACCAAATTTTTAAATACCCTTTTTTTTTTCTTCAAAGATTTATTTATACAAGAACCAGGGTACAGGCCAGATTCGCGGGAGGGTGAGAGGATTCACCAGAGACAGAGCGGGGAACAGAACAGGCAGACTGACAAAACACACTGATGAAGGGAGCAGCGGGCGAGACAGGAGAGGTCTGCTGCACCATGTGGGATTCTCACCGGCTGACCGAGATGGAACCCACACTGCAGAGGCTGTGGATAGCTTCAGAGCGTGGCACTCAACCACCTGCGCCACCAGGGAGACTAAACTATCTTTTCTAGTAACAAAATTCAACATAATTCATTTCATTGAACCCTGCTTCTTGTAAATTTTGTAATACATTGCCACAAATTTTTCTATTATAGACAGCCATTGGGTATTCCCTATTTTCAAAAGAACATAGCAGGTCAAGCCATGGAGCCAGGTAGCTTTGACACTTGCAATATTATACTGGTGGCCTAAGGGACTTTGAATTTCTTTCATCTGCTGCAGAACAGATGGAAACTTTACCTGTTTGGTAGTATGGCAATGTGTAGGACATTGGAGTCATGTGCAGTTTTCTGGGAGGCAATCACACGCTTCATTTGAAGGTTATACACGTATAAACCCCTTCCAACTGCAGCAAATATGTTCTGGGGGAAAAATTCAAAAGTGAGCGTTAAGACTAGGACTAACCACTACCTAGTGTAATAGATTTTCAGCACTGGAGTGTTATCAGAAAGCCAATGTAACCTTTCTTATTCCTAGCCTTCAGTCCACATGACTGTACTGCCCTCTGAAATCCAAAAATATAAAGCACCAAGGAAAGCTCAATGCATCTGCAAGGCAGAAGGAGGCAACCGATAATGCAGTTCTGTGTATCACACCCCTTAGCATCATTTTCTCCCTCACTAAAATGAAAGCTAGAGAAAGGAGTTCTGGCTCGTGGGCTGGCTCTGGCACACAGCTGCTGAGGTATAACCTAGGTTTTCATTCACATAAAATACTATTTCCTTGGGAAAATTACTGAGCTGCTTTTGCCTGGAAAATGTGAGCAAAATTACTTGTACTTCCCCATCTCCAGCAATCGAAAGATCTGTAAGACACAAAAAAGCATATGCTGGAATGACACTATCCCAAGATGCTCTAAAAGCGTCACAAAAACATTTTCCAAATGGAATGTTAATACTTTCCCTTTTTTAACTAATTATCTTTTGAAAATACTCTCCCCAATATTTATCTTATTTCAACTTCACCTTAATAAGATACCTTATTAAAGTAGAAAAAACAAGTATTATTTCCATTTTCCAGATGAGCAAGTTAAAATTTAACATTGAAGTCACACAAAAAATTAACACATGGAGTCAATATTAGAATAAAGGTCATGTTACTCCAGTCCCTTGCTCTTTCCGCATACTACATCACCTAGCTTCTAAAATTATTTTGCAACTCACACTTTTGGTAGTACTTGTCTTAGAATCATTCATTCTTATTCAACAGGTATCCCACCATCCCCATGAGGCAGACCTCTTAAAAATTCCTACACACTGCCTCCCTATTTGCACCAGAGAACCCTTCTCTTGTGGCTTCAAAGGCTCCAAACTCAATGCAGATGTATGGTATCCAGTTTTTCAGATACCTTATTGTTTTTATCAGATATATCTGTTTTCCAAAGTTGAGATATACAGAAAATTGTTAGGTATGTGTTCTGTATCCTTTTCTTATACTATTGTTTTATTTTTTAAAGAGAGGTGAAGAGGAAAAAAAAAAGGACCACACTCCCCCATCAAGAACACTATTATTGCAAATTTTAAATAAAATAGTAGCAGGCATACAATTAGAAAACTTAAACAGTTTAGAAAGGCACAAGATAAAGTGAGATAAAAGCTTCCCCCAACACCACTCCTCAAAGGGACCCCCGCTCCTTAAACATGTCTGTGATTACATTCAGAAAAGTAACCTCCCACTTAAACACATTTTCTGAGACCCTGAAACTAAAAGAAGGTATGTTCAGATCAGAGCCAGGATTCAGTAATCTTACTGGGTACTAACCTCTTCCTGCATCACAGATGTGAAGTGCTTCAAAACCAAAAGGCCTAGAACACAGGAATTATCTCAAAATCTTCTTGCCCTAGGGTAATATACTAAGAAAAATATTCCTGACATTTTTCATTTCTTTTACCCTTCTAAGAAGTGCACCACTATCTTCAAAAGGATTCTCTCGCAGTGTTTCTTAAGCACTATCCGCAAATCCTATGGATTATTTAATCCAACCCAAAATTTCAACAGAGCTTTCACATCTGTGACCATTTAAAATCACTTATCTCAAGAATAAAAGATTAAAATGGTTTTATAATGCAAGTGGTGCAATCTTTGAAAAATATCACATTTTAAAGCTTAACTTGAACATGGGGAATGACACATTTGTATATCCTTCAAGATTACAGTTTAAATGTTACTAAATGGGCTTTACTTTAAAAGGCAAGTTTACAGATATTTTTAGACTTTTTTTTTTTTTACCTCTTCATCCCATGTGAAATGATGAATAGAAATGTCATTTGATTTTTGACAGAGTTTTATTTCTTGCTGGGTGTCCAGCTGTGGAGATGGGTCCCAGAAGTTGCGTTCACAAGCCTGCACGGTCCAGTCCAGGACATCCCAGACAATCAGCTCTCCAACATGAGAGCCAGTTACAAAATGCAAATCTAGGGAGAGGGCACATATTAATCTCACTGTTGATCATTTGACCTAGGCTACAATTAAAAATGGACTGCCTGAGTAATAATGCTCTAGACCACCAAAATAATTAAAATAATGATGTACCTAAATAAACCAAACAGGAAAATTAACGTAAACAGAAAAAGCAGAAATAGATTCAAGATTATTTATGTATTCAGTATGTAATAATGATTCCATTTCAATTCAGTGAAGTAAGACATGCCGCATATGCTGCAATATGATTAAGTATTTGGGGAATAAGAATGAAAGCATCTTACTTGGTATACTGTTTACAAAGCCTACACTTCTCTGGTGCTTGTCATATACTCTCTCACACTAGTATAACAGATCTGTGGAGATTTTCCCACACCAAGAAAATCTCAAACACTAGCTCAATTCTACAATTTAACTGGAGACAGCATCAAATGCCGTGGGTCAAAAGCTTAGGCTTACAGCTTAGTCCCTTCTCCTCCATGTTAAGTGCCAATCATGAGTCCAGGGTGTTACCTGTGCTTCTGATCAATCAGCTGTAAGTCAGAAGTTTTGATAATCCCCTCCTCTGGCTCAATTTCCTATAGAACTATTTACTATTTACCAGTTTACTATATAAAATGGTGTGATAAAGAATACAGGTGAACATCCAGATGGAAGAGACAAGTAGGACAAAGTATGTGGGAAGGGGGGCAAAGCTTTATGCCCTCTCTGATTGGAGCACTCTTCCTTTATATGTTCAACAACCAGAAGTTCTCCAAACTCCATTCCACTGGGGTTTTTAATGGAGCTTCATCATGGAGGGACAATCTATTAACTCCCTTTCTAGTCCCTCTTCTCTCTTTACAGAATCCGGGAGCCAGGAGCCTGAATATTGTGGGCTTCTAATTGTGGACTCTGTCTTTCTGATGACTAGGCCCCATTTAGAAGCCCAGCAAGAATGAATGGTCTCATTAACAAAAGACACTCATATCACCAAGAGAATTTCGAAGATTTTAGGATCCTTGGTAAGAACTGGTAGCAGAGACCAATATATATTATTTTTTATATTATTTCACATATACCCAAATAAGTTTCAAGTAGATTGAAGCATTAATTCAAGGATTAAGTAAAGGTGAATTTTTTTATAAATATGAAATTCTAAAAGGCTCTAAAGGAGGCAGGATTGGGGAAAGAGATTTGAGAAAATATGTTTTGCAAAAAAAAATTCACACACATCAGTGACAAAAAGCTGGGGGAAATTCGCAACTTTGATGTCAAAATAGGTTTACTATTAACTTGATACACAGAACTTCTTAAAAATCAGTAAGAATAATGGGCCTCCCCTGTGGCACAGTGGTTGAGTGCTGGGGTGCGATGCTGCCCGCAGCCTCTGCAGCGCCGGTTCAATCCCTGGCTGCTCCCCGGCAACTGGAGGAGGGTCCCACATGGCGCGCAGACCTCTCCTGCCACCCACTGCTCCCCTCAGCAGTGTACTTCGGTCCTTCTGCCTGCTCTGCTCCCCGCTCTGGCTCTGGTGAATTCTCTCACCCTCCCGCGCTTCTGACTGTACCCAGTGCTTGTATAAATGAATAAATAAATAAATCTTTAAAAAAAACAATTCAGTAAGAATAAGATAAATACTCCAGTAGCAAAAAAAAAAAAATGGGTGAAGGACCTGAACAGCTACAAATGATCAGTTGAAAAGATGTTCAACTTCCCTAAAAGTCAACCAGATACTAGCTTGACTTGCAAATTGGGAAAAATTATAAAAGTGGAAAATACCCAATGCTTGCAAAGCAAACAGAATCAGCACACTCATGATCTACTAATGTCCTGGTATAAATTGGTATACTCTTTCAAATTTGATAATACCTATCAAAACCTTAAAAAAATGTAAACCCATTAACCCAACAATTCTCTTAGGAATGAATCCTTAGTAAAGTACAAAAAAGATAACATATAGCAAGATTATATACTATAATAATAAAAATCTGAAAAACCTAGTTGTAAAAGGAAAAAATAAATAAGACATTCACAAAATGAAATAGCAGTGCTGTTGCCAAAATTAAAAAGAATGTTTATATTTTACTTGGAAATACATTTAGGATATATTGTTACCAAACAGTAAGAAACCCACACACCCACATGCACACACACCCCAGGAAAATACCTAGAAAGGTATGGGCCAGTATTAAATGCTGCATGGTGGGATGATTTTAATTTATATTTTTAAATTTTTATGTTTATATTTTATCTCTTTTGACTATAATTACTTGTACAATAACAAGTTTTTAAAGCCCATAAGGAAAATGAAATAGGTCAACTAAGACAATTTTACAACTTGTATTTACTGTAAAATGTGTAACTGCTGAGACTAAAAATTATCTATTTTAATTCTTATGTATTTAATATAAAGCAGAACAGAACAATATACTGTGAGTCTGGAAACCCAAGTCCTAATTTTGGTTCTGCCTGTTATTAGCCATGTAGTCTTCAGAAAGTCATTTAACCTTTCTCTATCTTTTATTTGTCAGGCATTAAATAAGGATAGCATTAAAAATTAAGTTAAATAATAAACGTGTAGCCATTATCTCCTACTCCCTGGCATTATTTTGAGCACCTGATATTATTCCCTATTAGTGGTATTAAAACATCCAGTTACTTATAATTCAGGAATATATAAGATGGGTAATTATGATTTAATTATTCCATTCATCAAAAAAGCCACAAAAGAAATTTCTTAATAACTAAATGAACAATCTCTTAGAATAATGAATGACTAGCAATCACATTTAAAAACATTATTTCACCTTGGTTCCGAGTCAAATTTTTATAGTTTATTGATACTCTATAGAATTTGCTTTGTAAAGAAACAAATTCATTTTTCATCTGTGAAGAAAAACAAGCTTCCAGATTTCACAGTGGAAAAGTTGCCATACCCTTTTCCACCACCTTACCTTTCTCCTTCCCATTTTATTCCAAGTACAAAAGAACCAGAGAAGTTAGGGAGTGAAAATTTTTCTTGACTCTGACTCTGCACGTGTCACCATAATACAGTTAACTTACCTACTGAGACCACACAGTTGCCTCCCCTTAGCCCTCCAGTGTCTATAATTCATTTATGTAATAGAAATAAAGATCATTGCCAGTTGAATTTTTTCACTGACAACAGAATACCAGCATTTACCTCAATTGAAGCATTTTACCACTGTGTAAATTATTTATATTCCCCAACAGTTCAAAATGTTTCACATCAAATAATCTCAATGATGTTAATGGATGGATTTCATTCTAAGTTATCATTTAGTATGAAAATCCCAACTGGTATCTATCTAACCATCCCTCAGAAACACTAATACTTTGTAATTAACAACCGTGCTAGCAACACAAAACAAGAAAAGGGAAAAAAGAAGCTGCACCCAAAGCCTTTTTCCAGAAGAGACAAGCAAGGTTATTGTGTCTGTCTGTCTTTAAAAACCTGTCCAGGTATTCAGATTGCTTTGGTAAACTTAGATGCATCATCAACATATAAGGGAGTTTTGTGGCACCATTCTAAGATTGCCCTTGAGCCACCTCACTAAAAATATACTTCCCCGTGAGGCTCAAACCCAGAACTAGCCACATCTTGGTAATGGGTGGGGACAAAGAAGTCGGGCTGAGAGTGGAGTTGGGATTTGTGTAACTTAATCATTTCAGGATCACTGAAAACTGCAGCATAGCAGACATGCTTAGGTACAAGATTAAGAATCTCAGCATATTATTTTCAAATTTTTCAAGATCACATATCTATGTATGATTACTAAGTGTGCCTTTTGGCTAATTCATTATCTTTAATAAAATTTCACAATTATGGAGTTTGTAAAGTAAAAAGTACCAGGAATTTTCTGTAATTTTTATTAACAGGTTTTTTTGTTTGTTTTAGCTTTCCATTTTCTTTCTCTGAAGAAGTTTTCAAGGAAATACTTGAAAATAACTTGCTTGGTTAAAATGTTACAGGATTTTTCTGCACATTACACTATAAAACAAGTACAATGATAAGACTACCTCAAAACAATCCATCACCTTCATTAACAAAGTATGGGTCAATGGTACCAACACTTCACCACTAAAATCAGACAACTTCAATGAAATGGTCCAAAACACAATTGTGCTTTACTTAGCAGCTCCAGGGCCTTGGAGCTTATGGCTCAGTGTCCAGAGGGTAACCCAAATAAACTTGCCATTTGTGTTGCATCCATGGCTAGAGGGAAAAGAGTCCCTAGAGAAAAATAAAGGGGTGCTCCCCACCATGGTAACTTCTATCACCATAGACAAGCTGGTCCTGTGAAAAACTTGCAGCTGTGCTAACTAACACAATGGCTATTCGGGAGGAAAGTTTTAGATTTGGGAGGGACATTCTCACTGATAGATCAAAAATGTGGCGAGTGCCACACAAATGAAGGTTATACTTGGTATCTGTGAGCCAACCCAGGTCTCGGGTCAGGGGGCACAGTCTGGTCCTCCTCCTACATCATACTCATGGCACCCTTACAGGGCCTTCTTACAGTCTCTTCCCTACTATCAAACTGAAGTCCCAGGAGTCCTCTCATTTGACCTCAGTATATGCATCATCCAGCAGAGCTCTGATGATAACACTATATTTGAAAGTGAACTAGCAAAATCCCAGCCATTTGTAGGTTGTAATCCAATCCAGCCATCTAAGGTCAGATTCAACACACAGGATATGCTCATTAAAATAATTTACGAAGTCAAATAGGATGACTGCTTAGAGGAAACCCGCATCCATGAAGGGCTGGGAATGTGAAGACTGGTATCTTAGCTAGGAGGAAACAGGAACCATAGGAAAGGATAGGATAGACTGAGAAACATTAAGTATGAAATGGTCCTGGGGCCTCCCTGGTGGTGCAGGGGTTAAAGTTTCAGCGCTATCAAGCCACTGCAGCATGAATTCAATCCCTGGCCAGGGAGCTAACCCACATGGAGCAGCAGACCTCTCCTGTCTCACCCACTGCTCCCCTCAGCAGTGTATTTCAGTACATCTGCCTTTTCTGTTCCCCATTTTGTCTCTGGTGAATCCTCTCACTCCCCGCACTTCTGGCCTACATCCCAGGTCTTATACACATAAATAAATCTAAAAAAAAGTATCAAACAGTCCCCAATCCAGCAGGAGTGATACCTGCCCTTCCCCCAAGAAGTTGCTTGGCTCTCCTACAGTCCCGGCTCAGGAAGCGAAGTGCAGAATTCTCAGCCAGAGCAGAGCTCAACTGTTCAGTGAGGGGCACACAGGCAGTCAGTAACCACATTCAGCAGTAGCAAGAACCACTCATCTGACCCCTACTCGATTTCTGCACTCCTAGTATTTTCTGTGCTTGCTGGGGAGCTAGGGAAGACACTCGCCTCTCCCTGCATGTGACCTCCACCCCCACACCAAGTGTGCACAGAAAGAAGCTCCAAGTACCCACAGAAACTTCATCTGTCCAGAGTGTGTTTTTGTGTGTCCACCTTGGAAAAAGTCAGTAGAGGTGCAGGCTCAAACCTGGTGCAATTTCTGTTGCTTGCTCCCCTATTAATGGGGAGAGCACAGGATTCCAGGCATAGCGTTTCCAGGCTTGTTGGCAAGGATCTACCAGATCACTGGCTTTGGAAGGTCTGAGTTCTCACCCACCATGCGCCCCTCCACCCCTGTGACCTCTGGACAACTTACAGGGTGCCCAGGAGGCTGCAAGTGCCCATAGTGAATACAGTCTGCCTGCCCAGTGGGTTCTTTGTTCCAGCCTTGGGGGACCCAGAAATTAACCTGCAACATCTATGCACAGTTAACTTATGACAAAGGAGCTAAAAAGTATACAATGGAGAAAGGAGAGTCTCTTCAACAAACAGTGCCAGGAAAACTGGACAGCCACATGAGAAAGAATGAACCTAGACCACCATCTCACACCTTATACAAAAATTAACTCAAGATGAATTAAGACATGCATATAAGACCTGAAACGATGAAACAGACTGAAGAAGAAATAGGTGAAACACTCCATTACATTGGATTTAGTAATGTCTTTGTGGACTCATACACTGAGGGGATGTGGACAGGACCAGTCCCTACAGAAAACAGTATGAAGGTTTCTTAAAATATTAAAAATAGATCTAGCATATGATTCAGCAATTCCACTCATAGGTGTCAATCTGAAGAATGCAAAAACACTATACACAAAACACAAAAAGATATACATATACCCCTATGTTCAATGCAGCCGTATTTACAATAACTAAGCTATGGAAATAACCTAAGCACTCAAGGACAGAAGAGATTAGAAAAATACAGCATAGATACAACACAGAATACTACTCAGCTACAAAAAATGATGAACTCTTGCCACATGTGATAATAAGGATGGGACTGGAGGGGATGATGCTAAGTGAAATAAGTCAGAAGGAAAAAGACAAATACCAGATGGTTTCACTTACATGTGAAACACAGAGAAACAAAGGATCAGATAAAATTTAAAAAAACCCTAAAAAACTGACTGGAGTCAATGCTGTAAGAGGAAGAGGGGAAAACACAGTGGTTGAGAGGCATAATGGACTATGGTGGAGGACTATGGGTGTCTTAGTGGTGAGTATGGTGGTTTTTATATATAAATAAATACACACACACACACACACACACACACACTTATAAACATGTACCCAATGAGCTTACCATTGACATTAGCCAATGAGAGAATATTATCCTGGTGATCAAGGAGACGCTTAACTTCAAAGATATCCCACGCTAGTGATCCTTCTGTGGGTTCTATTAACCTGAAAATTACTAAATAAAACATGTAAATTTTCTGAAATGGTCAGAGCAGATAAAATTCTATTTCTCTAAAAAAGCAAGCATTTTATTAAATGAGAAATGCCTAAAGGACTGAAAAACTCATCTACAAAAAGATTTATACTACATTATTTCTTCCAAATGCTTGAGATGTTTGAAATTATCTACTGAAATCCCAAGTGTCCTTAGAACACTTTTGCCTGCATTGACTCTTCCAAGCCCCCTTCCTCAATAAGGCCTCCGTGCATGTCCAGTTATCCTGCCTCTCTCGCCTTAGTCAGTGACTGGCCCACATCCCTGAATCACCTTTACCATCAGTTTTCTCTATTCATGTTGCCATGCCAGTTAGAACTGCTATAAAATAAGGCATAAATGTATAGTTAACTCAGTGAAAACTTCAGCTGTCACTTTCATTTATTTATATTTTACCTTTTCTTGCATACACCATTAAATTATAACTTCTCTAAGTAGATATGTCTTACAATTTTTGTGTGACACACAGTGCTTTTGACTTCAGATGTTTAGTATATTATGTCACTCATTATTTAACTAACAATTAGAGTTATTTAAACTAGTATAAGTCCTAGCTTTAATCAATACAGAAAATCCAAAATAAAATCAACTGGAGTGATTCTATCAACATTTACTAAGTATCTGCTATGTACCAAGCCCAGTCAGTGCCCTGACATATTCAGTCTAGAGTTAAGAGTGACACTTACAAACAAGCTTTAGATCAATGTATTAAGTGTTGTAATAAGTCACTGCATCAAGTGCTGTGATGGTCACAGATCAGATAACTAATATCTGAGAAGGGCACAGTTCTCAGAGGTCATATTCCTGCCAAGTGACAGTAATTATTAAAATCTCTCTCTTACATTTCTCTTTGGAAAATATGTAATGTCACCTACCTTTCTATGACTCTGAACAGGAGGCTTACCAACTAACAAATCTCTAGCAAAGTTCTTAAACACTCAAAGCAGATAGGTTATTTAATCTTGAAAGTCTTTCATGTTTAAACTGTGGTTGTCAAAAGAAGGCCCCACAAAGAAATGGGGCCACATTCTGGCTTCTTGATACAAAAATTTCATAGTTACTACCTTAGTGAATTCCCAAAATAAGCCTTTTCCAACCCCTACAATTTAAATGTATAATCTCAGAATGCTGATGCTTTATTTACATGGTTAAATTTTTTGCTAAGTATATAAGTATTAATCAGCAAGGCAGAATACCGTACAGTGTAATTGGCCCTCTCTGGCATCATGATAAAAAGTGAAGTTACAGTGCCCCACTTGGGGATGTAAGTGTAGTACAAAACCTAACCTAACATTTTGACCAATAACAAACTTAGAAAATGTCTAAGTCTCAATATCACTTCAATAATCCCAGGAGGCCAAGAATGAAACAGGGGCATATGTCCTTTCAATAAAAATCTCGCCTTTCCAAAATGTGTACACAGCCTAGTTTAAAATTAAAAAGTGAAAAAGAATCATACTCACTCAGTTCTTTGCCAACCGCAGCCACAACACAGTTCTTCGGTATTTCAATCAAAGCACTGACCCCTTCAAAGATATATAAAACAAGGGTCAAATAATTATCTTCTTGGATGTCATTGAAAACAAAAGCATTCTCAGTTTAATGTGAGTTTCTTTCTCAAAAGGGGGGTAGTAAAAATAAAGCACACGCAATTTTCTACACCACGCTTCCTTACTTAAAAATGGAAATTGATTTTGAGAAAAGTAGTAAGAACTTTGGAAGACATTACTCATTTATTAAGGATAGAATATGCTATTTGAACATTTCTACTAATGTGGTAAACTTATTTACCAAGGATTCCTTAAGATAATCACCTTTACCATTACCAAGATGGATAACTCAAATGAGACATAAAATCATTGTTTCCTCAATGTAAACTTAGTAAGAGCATGTGGCTGTCAGTAGATGAATTGTCCAACAGTCAAGGACTAAAAAAGTAGACTTCAAATACCGTAACTATGATAAACTAATACATTTACAAAATTCTTTTTTTTAAATATTTATTTATTTATTTATACAAGAACCGGGGTATAGGCCAGATGTGTGGGAGAGTGAGAGAATTCACCAGAGACAGAGTGGGGAACAGGCAGGCTGACGAAATACACTGCTGAGAGGAGCAGTGGGCGAGACAGGAGAGATCTGCCGTGCCATGTGGGACCCTTGCTGGCCGGCCAGGATCAAACCCGCACTGCAGAGGCTGCAGACAGCTTCACAGTGCTATGCTCAACTGCCTGCGCCACCAGGGGAGGCCCTACAAAATTCTTGTTGTTACTGGAATAATCAGATTGAAATTCCACCACATTCCACTTATTTTTGAGTTGTGAATATCTTTCTGTAACTGAATCATACAATGATTTAGGACAACCATAATTTTTATAAGATACACTACAATTATCACTTTTTTCAGCAAGGATTAAAAAAGGCTTACCTCACTCTTCTCTGAGGAAACACTATGGGGATGGAGAGAATGGAATGATATATCCAAAATACTTAAAAGATGAAAATGGCCAGAATATACTATCCTGCAATGTTCTCCCTGAGATATGCGGAAGAAATAAAGGTCTTCTCAGAAAAACAGAAGCTGAAGAAATTTGTAAACACTGGAACTCCTCAGTGAAAGAAACTATCACTAAAACAAAAAGACACCCTTTTGAATGGGAGAAAATATATGCACAGCATATATTCAACTAAGAGCTGATATCCAAGATCTACAAAGAACTCACACAACTTAACAAAAAGGAAAGAAATAACCCAATCAAAACAAGTGCAAAAGAGTCCAACAGACACTTCTCCAAAGAAGACATGCAGAAAGCCAACAGGCACAGGGAAAAAATGTTCACTGTCATTTACTGTCAGGAAAATGCAACTCAAAACCACAAGGAGATTCCATCTGACACCTATGACAGTGGTCCAAATCAAAATGACCAGAAGTAAGTCATTTTGAGAATGACATATGGAGAAAAAGAAACCTTCACACACTGTTGGTGGGAATAAAGACTGGTCCGGTCCCTATGGAAAACAGCATGAAGATTTCTCAAACTACTAAAAACGGATCTATCGTATGACCCAGCCATTCCACATCTAGTTATCTACTCAAAGAATTGTAAAAACACCAATTCAAGGGATATATGCACTCCTATGTTCACAATAGCCACGTTATGAAAACAACCCACATGCACAAAGACAGGTGAATGGACTAGTAAGATGTGGTATATTATACACAATGGGATACTACTCAGCTGTAAAAAAACAAAAAGCTTGCCATTGCAACAACATTGATGGACATGGAGGGATTATGAAAGAGAAAGATGAATACCAGAGGGTGTCGCTTATATGTGGAGGTCAGAGAAACAAATAGAGAGATAAAGTCAAACCAGTAACAAACCCCAGAAATCAGACTATAGAAATGAGTCTACCAGGGGGGAGGGAGAGAGGGGCGAGCAAAGTGTGAAGAGAGGATAATGGATTATAATGAAGGAATATGGGTATGTCTTAGTGATGGGTGTAGTGTTCTAACAACCCCTAAATGGGATGGTCCTATACCTCCAAATTATAGAAAATGTTGTAAACCAATGTTACCTCACAAGTAAATTATGTATGAAGTAAAAATACTGGAAACTAATCCAGAAGTAGCAACTGAATACACAGAATCACAAAACAACTGTAAAGGATATATCCTTTTTTTAGTTCAAGGCTCTTTTCATTACATGATACTATGATTATATTTGTTTATTTCCAAATACAGAGTAACTATCCCTTAAAGCCCTGCTAGCCCATAGTTGAAGTAGGACCTATAAAAGGAGCTTCTTGAGGTAAAGGTTTAGTAGCACTTCTAAGAAGCTGGCATCCTGCAATTTGGGAATACCTAATCACAGAAAGCTCACTATTAGTAAAATATAGCCTTATCAAAGGTTTCAACAGATTCTTTCAAGGTTTCTGCAATCTCTTGAGAAACCAATAAAAGGGCAATGTTTTGATTACTTAATATACAGTACTCAAAGATAACTTGGAAACTAAAGGACTGCAATAATAAGTGGTTATTTCTATTAACATACAAAAGCTTTTTAGCTCTGTCTTTAATATTTCACAACACAGTTATTAATTCACAGAATAAAATGTATAGATAAGAGGCTAATATGGGAGGAAAATGTACATAGAGATATGGAGAGAAAACTCAGGATTAAACTTAAAAACATACTCTAGATTTAAATAAGATTATTAGTGATCAGATATTGAAATGAGATGAAATTGTAAATCCTGATAATGTATGAACTTAGTTTTGCTAACACATCTTATTTTTCTAACATTTTATAATATCTATGTGCAGATAAGCTAATTATAATTATGAAGTATATATAAACTTTTCGGCAACCAATTATAAAATGAGGGCATCCTTAACAATCTACTCAAAATGCAATGAGCCCACAAATAAAGAAAAAAATGCTATTATAAAGTCAAAGGTGTACTTCAAGATGCCATGTGCTCACCAAACTCAGCTTAGGAACATGGCCCAATGAGATATATGAACAGCTATTTCTTGACCACTTTTGACTATCTGACCATTGTCATAAGAGAAAGAAAGCCAACAAGGGATGGGGGAAGAAAGATTTCTCTTCCAATTTGGTTTGGAAATATATTTTACATAACCCTTAACCTGAATTGGAGAAATATGGCTGTGTGTTATCTTCAGAATTAAAAAGAAAAATCCTCTACATTGACGGAGGTATACATGAAAAGTCTCTGAAAATTCACTGTATCGTCTAGAGTCTGTCAGTCCTGGCTTACAGTTACTTGATTTGGGTTTTACCTGTATCTGAAAGGTGACAAGTCTTACACAGAAGATCTAATTTTCGGTTCCACACACATAGATCATTCCCACCAGACAGCCAAACGTCCAGTCTCTGAAGAACAGTTAAAACCTGCAAAATTCACATAAAATGTCTATCAGTTTAGAAATTTAAGCAGTCATTGGCTTTAAAATATGTACACAATTTCTTTGCTACCTTTCTTCCTTCAAGAATTTGAGCTTAATTCTCCTTCCCTTGAATGTGTATTCTATTAATCAAGTAACTTCTAAGAAATAAATGTGGCAGAAAGGATGGTATGACTTATAAAACTAAGTAATAAAAGACATGGCAGCTTCCTCCTTGCTCTCTATTGGATCACTTACTGTAGCAGGGAAATACCCAGCAACCATACAGAGAAAGATCCATATAAACAGAAGTGAAGCCTCTGGACAAAACACAGCAATAACTTGCCAAGAATATCAAGCTCCTAGAAATTTCCAACTCCAGTGAGGTCTTCAGATAACAGTGACCTCATAAGAGACACTAAACCAAAACCACCCAGCTAAGCTAGCTCTCTATTTCTGACCACAAGTACTATGAGATAATATTTACTGTTGTGAACGACTAAGTTTTGAGGTAATTTGTTTCTCAGTAATAGATAATACACAGGGCTTAAATTAAGGTGTTTTTCAAAATATACTAAAAATATGGCTTTTACCATGTCTTAATAAATGCCTGTTGTGACCATTAATACCTCCTAATTCTTGACTGACTGAAGTTAGTATTTCAAGAACTATAGAAGTCCTTTAAGAGTACTTTAAAGTCTATACCTTTAATAGTACCATTTACACCCATCAGTTCTGAATGAGTACAAAGGCAAGAGAAAAGAATTTTAAAAAGAAGAAAAAATTCTGTAATGTTGCATGGGCTGAGAGTGGGGTTGCTTTTTAGACTGCTGTAATAAAAAGGATTCAAAATAGGACCTCACAAAAGGTCCTACTCCGTCTAATCTGTAAATCTGTAAAATCCGTGCTTTATTCCTTCTTATTGTCAAATGGTATTTCACTGTTTGGATATACCACCTATCGGCTATCCATTTATCAGTTGATAGACATTTCAGTTATTTCCACTTTGGGGTTGTTATAAACAATGCTGTTATGAACATTCATGTACATGTTTTTGCATGTACATACATTTTCCCTTCTCATGAGAATACTTAGGAGTAAGATAGATAGATCAAATACAAGTCTGTTTAACATTTTGATAAACTGACAAGCTGTTCTCAATGGTGAGTGTAACATTTTGCCTTCTCATCAACAATGCATGAGAACTCTAATGTCTCCATCTCCTTTATCAACACTTGTTATTGTGCATGTGCAAGATATCAGCCATCTAGCATACGTGAAATAGTTATGTTACAGTTTTTGACTTGCATTTTTCTAATGACTAATAATTTTGAGCTTTTTCTCATGTGTTTATTGGCTATTTGTGTATCTTCTTTGGAGAAATCTTTTAAATTCTGTCTACTTTTAATGGGGCTATTACTATCTTTTAAATTGAGTTTTAAGGGTTCTTTGTGTATAATGATACAAGCTCCTTATCAGACAAACGATTTACATGTACTTTCTCCCATCCTGTGGGTTATTTGTTCACATTCTTAATGGTGTCCCTTGAAGAATAAAGCTTTTCATTTTGATGAAGTTCAACTTATCTTTTTTTTTCTTTTGTTGCTATGCTTTCAATACCCTATCTAAGATCCCTACCCCAATGGTCACAAAGATATACTCCTCTATTTCTTCTAAAAGTTTTATAATTTCAAGCTCTTATATTTGTCTTTGATCCATTTTGAATTAATTTTTGGATAAGGATGAGACTGGAATCCAATTTCATTACCTTGTACTTTGATATCCAGTTGAACCCAACAATTATCTATTGATGCAACTATTTTTAATTTGATTGAAGGATCTTGGTACTTTGTACTTTGATATCCAGCTGAACCCAACAATTATCTATTGATACAACTATTTTTAATTTGATTGAAGGATCTTGGTACCCCTGTCAAAAGTCAACTGACCATATATGTGAGGTTTTATTTCTGGACTCTCAATTCTATTTATCTGTCTATCCTCATGCACTACCACACTGTCTTGCTTACAGAGCTTTGTAGTAAATTTTGAAACTGAAGCATGAGTCTTACAACTTTTTCTTTTCAAGATTGCTCTGGCTTTTCTGGGGTCTCCTGAACTTCTACATGAATTTTAGGATCAGCTTTTCAACTTCTAAAAAAAAATTTGCTAGGATTTTGCTAGAGATTATGTCCTTGAGTCCAATCAGTAGTGTTGCAATCTTAATATTAAATCTGATCCATGAATATGGGAAGGTAGAATGTTTTAGAAGGTAAAATGTTACGTCTTTTCATTTATTTCATTTTCCTTTAGTTTCAACAATATGTGGTAGTTTAGGTATATAAAAGAATTATACTTTCCCTTTAAATTTATTCTAAGTATCTTATTCTTTGGGGTGCTATTATAAATGGAATTCTAAAATTTCATTTTTGGAATGTTCACTGCTAGTGTATAGAAATACAATTAATTTTTCAATACTGACATTGCATCTTGAAGCCTTGCTAAATCATTATCATTTCTAATAGTATGGATTTTGAATTTTCTGTATCAATACCATTTATGAATAGTTTTATTTCTTCCTAATATCAATACCTTTTATTTAATTTTTATCACATAATCGCCCTGGGTCCAGTACAATATTGAATAGGAACACCAAAAACAGATATCCTGATCTGGTTCTTGATTTAAGAGAATAGTATTCCATCAGTTTTTCATCATTAATGTGACATTAGCTGTGGGGTTTCATAGATGCTCCTTATTAAGTTGAGGAAGTTCTCATCTAATTCCTAGTTTATTAAGTATTTTTATCATTAGAGAGTACGGGAGTCTGACAAATGCTTTCTCTACATCTATTGACATGATTCATAGGCTTTTGTCTTTTATTCTTACTACGGCATATTAGATTGATTTTTTTTTTTAGATGTTGAACTAAGCTCATATTCCTGGGATAAATCTCTCTTAGTCATGGTATATAATCCATTTTATATAATGGTAGATTTGGCGTGGTAGTATTTTGTTGAGGTTTACATGGCTTTTGTTACTTATTAGCATTTTGCATACTACACATTCTTCTGAAATACTATTTTTAGCATATGTCTATTATAACTACTTTCCTATAAGGTATTTAGTATACTGCCAGTCATCCACTTATAAAATATATTTGTAATATACATTTCTGTTCATAAATCTCTGCCTAAGTTTTCATTCAATTATTTCTATTAAACAGATCTAAAAATAGAATCACTAGGTTAATTAGTGTAATCATTATTTTGATTCATTCATAATGCCTAACTGCCTTCCAAGAGAATGCCATTCAACAGCAATATGCCAATTTCACAATCTCTTTGCTAATGTCAATCCTTACAAAACTTTACTAGTACAAAAAATAAATACCAGTATTCCCTGATTTCTTAGGAATCTCAATTTCTTTGATAAATTATCTGTTCAAGAAAAATGAACCACTTAAGTAAGTGTAGATGCACTTTTAACAATTTTTTATGTGGAACAGGCTCATAACAGAAGTAGATACAATTACCTATCTGATTAACATTATATTAAAACCTATTTATAAAGTACTTTCATCACACTGGAGTAAGATACTTTTTATTGACCAGTTAGGTGACTATATAACTGGTCACCCAGGGAATTTCCCACAAATACACGATTTTTTTCCTCCTTTCCTGTTCCTTCAACTCATGTTTTCATATGAAACCTAGTGCCCTCAAGTTAGTTTTTCAGATAACAAGAGTATTATTTCAGTAACTTAAAAGGGGCATCCTTTTATAACAGATTTTAATCAAATCAATATTTAATGACTTCTTCAAAGACAGTCCATTGTTGAATTGAATACAAGCATATAGTAAATAGCATTTCTCAGAAACTTTATTAAGTTTATAATTAGAATAGTAAAGTAGCATTAGGTGGCTGTTAGCGATGGTTTTAGGAAAAAAGTGAGATATCTCGACTAATGGCACACAGCAATTTTCTTTACATTTAAAAAGGGTTAGCTCCCATATAGAGATTGGTTGTCTTTAAGTAAATGAGGAAACATCTCATTTTACTGGATCTTTCCCCCAATTCGCTCACATTATTTAAAAACAGTGGAACCTTCTGAGAACATTTAAGGTAATTTCCTTTATAGGAATTAGAGTAACTAAGTCTTATCCAAGCTAGTTTCCCAACATGAAGCAGAGTTTCTATTATGTAATAAAACCCAGTTAATATGTTTTGTATAATGAATGAACCAAATACCAGACAAATAGACACAAAAGATTCTGACTTGGAACTACGTAATTGATATGTTTTATCTTTATGATCTTTTAGAAGGAAGAGGTTGACCGTGACTATGTCACAGTCATTCTGAAAGTAATACATTTTCCTAAAATTACCTACTCAATGCATACGAGGTATGTTTTACTTTATCTTGCAATAGAGATGCACTCCTTACTCATAATTTCAAATTCAATATTCTGGCACTTAATATATATGGTCCCCAAAATACAGCCCTAGTAGAGACCTAGTGGAGGAAATAACTATAGAACTAATTTTACCTAATTTATTAAAGAATTTCTTCTGAGATAAAAGGATTATCATACAAATCTGTTTTAAGATTTTACCTTTACAGTGGACTGGAAGGATGACACTTGCTGAACTTGTCTACCAGTATCACAATCCCATACCTAAATTTATGTTAAGAAAAAATTTCTAAACAATTATAAAATCTTAATTATGGATAACTTTTGCTATAATTAAATCATAAATAGTACACATTTAGGTACAACATCTTTAAATAAAGCATAGAATATGGAGTGGTTATACTACTATAAATATTAATTCATACATACAGTTAGTCAACTTAGCATAGCAGGTGTTAGCATAGTCAACTTGGCATATAATCTAAAATACACTTGAGGTAAATTTTACTATTAAACTATTCCACAATGCCAACAGACTGCATAATTTGAACAATGAATCCGTATAGATATTACGCATTGCACTGTTTAAATTTTAAGATTTAGTCTCCAAAATAATTCACCATAATCTAACAAATATTGAAATTCAAGTGTTCTTACTGAAAATAATCACATTAATATTTACTGCAAGCTGCCTCAATGTGCATGGCATGATTTATTACTGTTATCCTGAGATAACATACTGCCACTACCTGTATATATGTATTGCCACTACCTGTATATATGTTTAAAATATAGGACCTCTCATAAAATGTCCACAGTTAGTCTGATGCAAGGAACATGATTTTCAAACATTTTATATCATTTCAGAGTGGGGAGCAGAACAGACTGAAACAGTATTTTTATGTGCACATTCTCCCATTTCTTCCATTTTATCTAACTTGATATAAAAGTAACTCTGAAAGAACAGTTTGAGTCATAGGGTTTTTTTTTGTTTTTTTTTTTTTTTAGAGCATCTTTTTTTTTAAAGATTTATTTTTTTATTTATTTATACAAGCACTGGGTACAGTCAGAAGCGCGGGAGGGTGAGAGAATTCACCAGAGCCAGAGCGGGGAGCAGAGCAGGCAGAAGGACCGAAGTACACTGCTGAGGGGAGCAGCGGGCGGCAGGAGAGGTCTGCGTGCCATGTGGGACCCTTGACCAGCAGGCGGGGATTGAACCGGCGCTGCAGAGGCTGCAGGCAGCTTCGTAGCCCAGTGCTCAACCGCTGCACCACCGGGGAGGCCCTGAGTCATAGGGTTTTAATGAGTAAGCATTAACCTGCTTTTTCCAATCTAATACTTTTCAAATACTTAATAAAGAAATGTTTTATGAAAGCTGAAACAAAATCATTTTTGCTAAAACAGGAATTTACCAACAGGCCTCAAGAAGCTAAAGACTTCTGAGCCCTCAGGTTACTATTGCTATTTCACTTTCTTCCAGATATAAGGAATACATTACAAGGATACAATAACTGTTCTATCAGCAGAGGCTGTCAAGATTAGTTGGTTTTTTTCTTCACAAGCTTCCAAGGAAGGAAATGTAATGATAGCTGTTATCTTTTGAGTGTGTCCACTGAGTTCCAAAAGTTTTTCTCCTGTCTGAAATACCAATAAAAATGTTAATAAACTCATAACTAACCATTTAGTATTCTTAAATGACAATGCTAAGAGGAATACTATGCAGAAAATGCATACATGCCATTCAAAATTACTCACAATTTGTAATTTAAATTTATAATTTTTAAAAAAATTTTTTTAAAGGTTGGGTTTTGTTTCTTTTATTTTTTAAGATTTATTTATTTATACAAGAATCAGGGTGCAGGCCAGATGCACAACAGGGTGAGATGATTCACCAGAGACAGAGCGGGGAACAGAACAGGCAGACTGATGAAACACACTGCTGAGGGGAGCAGCGGGCAAGACAGGAGAGGTCTGCTTCGCCATGTGGGATTCTCGCTGGCTGGCCAGGATCGAACCCAGGCTGCAGAGGCTGCGAATAGCTTCACAGTGCGGCACTCAACTGCCTCTGCCGCCAGGGAGGCCCTTTAAATTTATAATTAATTTATAATTTAACTTAAAGCAGTCAAACAGAATCTAAACAGGTACAAAAAGAGTAGCCATAAATAGGGCCTCCCCGCTGTCACAGCAGTTGAGCGCTGGGTTGCGAAGCTGCCCGCAGCCTCTGCAGCGCCAGTTTGATCCCCGGCTGCTCCCCGGCCACCAGAGGAGGGTCCCACATGGTGCGCAGACCTCTCCTGCCGCCCGCTGCTCCCCTCAGCAGTGTACTTCGGTCCTTCTGCCTGTTTTGCTCCCTGCTCTGGCTCTGGTGAATTCTCTCACCCTCCCGCACTTCTGACTGTACCCAGTGCTTGTATAAATAAATAAAAATAAATCTTAAAAAAAAAAGTCTAAAAAAAAAAAAAGAGTAGCCATAAATAATTTCGATTATTTTCTTATAGAAAATAGTGTTTAGGGGGGTGGAGCAACATGGCGGCGAGGAGACGCTGCGAGTAAGATCTCCCATTAAAAAAAGTTAATAGGGAGGAAAAGCGGCAGGTCCCAGTGAGAACTGAGACAGGGAAGATAAACGGACGACTCCAGCAAACTGCCCGAAGAAGAAAGTTGCCATAAAAGAGGACGAGAAGGGAGGGAAGCTCAGAACCCTGCTCCCCTCCCCCGCCCACAGAGGCGGCACTCTCCGACCGGCAGAGACGAGGGAAACAACAAACCAAAACGCCCAACAAGAAAAACGGATGCAGCAAGTGGGACTGTGAGTGGAAAGGAACTATTTCAGCCACCACACCCCGTGAACGGGAGCTGAGGCGAACCCTGCAGGATCCGCCGTGGAGGTGAGCTCCAGGCGCCAGTAAAGAGAGCCCCGCCCACCAGGAGGAGCCCAGCACCAGCACACAGCCCCGGCCGCCCGGTAAGCTTGCAAGAAAGCGGCGCTCGGATTGCAGCTGCCCAGGGCCCTGCGCCTGCGACCTAGGCTTGCGGGGAGACGGCGGAGGCCCTCCCTGAGTGAGCAGGAACAAGGCGCCCAGGCAGGGGAGCGGGATTCAAAAGGCGCCATTCCCGCGCCACTGATCTGGGCTATAGCCCGCGTCCTGGAACTGAGGGCTTTGGAACTGAGACCCGGGCGGAGGCCCTCCCTGAGTGAGCAGGAACAAGGCGCCCAGCAGGGGAGCGGGATTCAAAAGGCGCCATTCCCGCGCCACTGATCTGGGGCTACGTCCTGGAACTGAGGGCTTTGGAACTGAGACCCGGGCGGAGGCCCTCCCTGAGTAAGCAGGAACAAGGCGCCCAGGCAGGGGAGCGGGATTCAAAAGGCGCCATTCCCACGCCACTGATCTGGGCTACAGCCCGCGTCCTGGAACTGAGGGCTTTGGAACTGAGACCCGGGCGGAGGCCCTCCCTGAGTGAGCAGGAACAAGGCGCCCAGGCAGGGGAGCGGGATTCAAAGGCGCCATTCCCGCGCCACTGATCTGGGCTACAGCCCGCGTCCTGGAACTGAGGGCTTTGGAACTGAGACCCGGGGCACGAAATTAGGGGCGTGGGTTCCCCACGACGGTGGGGCACAAGGCAGACACAGCACCCCAAAGCCGTTGAGGTGTACCCTACCATCCCGCTCTGCTCCCTGTCCACGGGGTGGAAATCAGCTCCCCAAGGGCTCTAGGAGAGATCTCTGGTGCACCTAGCGACTTGACCCCAGCACAGGCTACTGAAGGAGCTAGTGGCCAGCTGGGAGTTAGCCCACACCGGGCCTTCTGAACAAGTAGTCTGAGCCCACAGGGAGAGCGAGCACCCACAGCCGGGGCAGACCAGGCGCGCAGAATAGTGTGCCTGAGACCAGAAGCGCAGGGAGTGTGTCCCACATCACCATTTTAGAACAGGGACATTTCTTCAGTAAAGACTACCTGCAGAAGGCTTCCTCAGGAGCCAGAGGTGAGCGGGGAAGTTCGCCACGCCAGACCCCCTCTGGCCTGCAGTCCAAGCCCAGAGGGGAGCAGGAACCCACCGCCGGGGCAGACCGGCGCACAGGGGAGTGTGTCCCCACATCGGCATTTTAGAACAGGGACCTTTCTCCAGTAAAGGCTGCTTGAAACTGACAGATGACTCCTGGAAGAACCAGAGGGGAACAGAGAAGCCCACCCAAGATGCCGGCAAGTCCCAACAACACAGTGTCCCAACGCATACGGCAAATTAGAAAACAGACAGTAGGGAGGAGAAGAACCACACGCAACCTAGCAACTCTCCAGAGAAAAAGCACACCACAAAAAGAAAGCCAGCCCCCAGATTGCAACGACAATAACTTGGAAGAATTTCTGAGCCTTCCAGAAAGAGAATTTAAAATTGCCGTGATTAAAAAACTGACAGAAGTCATAAAGGAAAACAATGATAAGGGAAAAATAATCAACGATCAGAAGAATGCAATTGAGTCCCTAGAGAGGGAAAACAATGGTCAGAAGAAAGAAATTGAGTCCCTAAAGAGGGAAGTAAAAGAAATGCAGGAGATCAAAGAATTAATGGAAGAACTAAAGAATTCTGGGAAAAGCAATGAAAGCAGAATAGATGAAATGGAAGAACGAATAAGTAATCTTGAAGACACAGAAATAAAAAGAACCAAAACAGAGAAGGAAAGAGAAGTACGAAGGAAAAAGAACGAAGAAAGACTTCGGGAACTATCGGACTCCATGAGGAAAGGAAATATAAGAGTTATAGGAATACCAGAAGGAGAGGAGAGAGATGTAGGAACAGAGAAAATATTCAAAGAGATAATTGAAGAGAACTTCCCAAATGTGAAGAAGGAGCTGAAAATTGATATACAAGAAGCAAGAAGAACACCAAACTTCCACGACGAAAGGAAAAATACAGCAAGACACATAATAGTAAAGCTCCCAAGAATCCAGGACAAGGAAAAAATAATGAAGCTGGCAAGAGGGAAGAAACAGATAACATTCAAAGGAAAACCAATCAGGCTGACATCAGACTTCTCCGAAGAAACACTACGGGCAAGGAGAGAGTGGAGGGACATAGTCAACAGACTCCAAGAAAACAGATACCAACCAAGAATACTCTATCCCGCAAAGCTCTCCTTCCTCTTTGAAGAAAGAATATGGACCTTCCCAGACAAACAGAAACTCCGGAATTTCATTGCAACTAAACCCCCACTCCAAAAAATACTACAAGGAGTTCTAAAGCCAGAACCTCAGAGCGACGAATAACAATGAAAGAAGGCCAAAAAAAAAAAAAAAGTTATTAAAAGAATAAATAAATAAAATCAAAGGAAAGACAAACACAATGGCAAATACAGATGTTAACATATCAATATTAACTCTAAATGTAAATGGACTAAACTCTTCAATAAAAAGACACAGAGTTGCAGCCTGGATTAAGAAACAAAACCAAACCTTTGCTGTCTCCAGGAAACACATTTAGCTACAAAAGATAAAAATAGGCTCAAAGTTAAAGGATGGAAAACAATCCTACAAGCAAATGGACCAAAAAAGAAAGCAGGAACAGCTATACTTATATCAGATAAAACAGATTTCAAACTCAAAAAGATAAAAAGAGACCCCAATGGTCACTACATTATGATCAAGGGGACAATACTTCAAGAAGAAATAACACTCATTAACATATACTCACCAAACGAAGGAGCACCAAAATATATCAGACAACTGTTGTCCTCTCTGAAAACAGACATCAGAGAAAACACATACGTAGTGGGAGACTTCAACACACCACTATCAACAATGGATAGATCAACAAGACAAAAAATAAGTAAAGAAACCAAAGCTCTAAATAAAGACCTAGAGCAATTGGGCTTAACAGACATCTATAGAACACTAAACCCCAAAAAAACGGAGTACACATTTTTCTCAAGCGCACACGGATCATTCTCCAGGATCGATCACATACTGGGGCACAAGACAAACATCAACAGATACACCAAGATTGAAATCATATCAACCATCTTTTCTGACCATGAAGGCATCAAACTAGAAATAAACCATAAAAAGAAGGCAAGGAACTTTCCTACCTCATGGAGATTAAAAACCACACTACTGGAAGACCACTGGACTAACGAGGAGATCAAAGAAGAAATTAAAAAATTTTTTGAATTGAACGACAAGGAGGACACCAATATCCTAAATGTATGGGATGCAGCAAAAGCAGTAATAAGAGGAAAATATATAGCAATAGAAGCTCACATCAAGAAACAAGAAAGAACGCAAAGAAAAAACCTAATCTCGAAGCTCAAAGATCTAGAAAAAGAACAACAAGAAAACCCCAAACCAGTAGAAGAAAAGAAATAATAAAAACCAAAGCAGAAATAAATGAAATTGAAACTAAAAAAACAATCCAAAAGATCAATGAAACCAAGAGCTGGTTCTTTGAAAAAATCAATAAAATAGACAAACCCCTAGCCAGCTCACAAAGGAAAAAAGGGAGAAAGCACAAATAAACAGGATCATCAATGAAAGAGGAGAATCACAACGGACACAGCAGAAATCAAAAGAATAATCAGTAACTGTATGAACAGTTATATGGAAACAAGTTTAACAATCTAGAGGAGATGGACAAATTCCTACAACTCTACAATCACCCAAAGCTAGATAAAGAAGAAATAGAACACCTAAACAGACCAATTACAATTAGCGAAATTGAAATGGTAATCAAAAACCTCCCAAAAAACAAAAGCCCAGGACCTGATGGATTTACAAATGAATTCTACCAAACATTCAGAGACGAATTAGTGCCTATCCTTCACAAACTCTTCCAAAAAATTGAGAAGGAAGGGACAATACCAAACACGTTCTATGAAGCCAACATTACACTAATACCAAAACCGAACAAGGACAACACAAAAAAGGAAAACTACAGGCCAATCTCCCTAATGAACACTGATGCAAAATCCTCAATAAAATTTTAGCTATCAGAATCCAACAATGTATCCATAAGATAATTCACCACGACCAAGTTGGATTCATTCCAGGGGCACAAGGATGGTTTAACATCCGAAAATCAATCAACGTTATCCAACACATCAACACAAAGAAATATAAAAACCATATGATAATATCAATAGATGCTGAGAAAGCTTTCGACAAAGTGCAACACCCATTCATGATAAAAGCCCCTTGAAGTTCTTGGGATACAAGGAACATACCTCAACATCATAAAGGCCATCTATGACAAGCCAACAGCCAGTATCATTCTCAATGGTGAAAAGCTGAAAGCAATTCCATTAAGATCTGGAACAAGACAAGGATGTCCACTCTCACCATTGCTTTTCAATATAATACTGGAAGTCCTAGCCAGGGCAATAAGACAAGAGAAAGACATCCAAGGAATCCAAATAGGAAAAGAAGAAGTCAAACTATCACTATTTGCAGACGATATGATATTATACATAGAGAACCAAAAACTCCACAGAAAAGCTAATTCAACTCATCAATCAGTTCAGTAAAGTGGCAGATACAAAATCAACACGCAAAAGTCAGTAGCCTTCCTATACACAAACAATAAATCTGAAGAAGAAGAAATCGAAAAGACCATCCCTTTTGTTATTGAAACAAAAAAATCAAATATTTGGAATAAATCTAACAAAGAGGTAAAGGACCTATACAAAGAAAACTATAAAACACTGTTAAAAGAAATAGAAGAAGACACAAAGAAATGGAGAGACATCCCCTGCTCATGGATTGGAAGAATAAACATTATTAAAATGGCCATCCTTCCAAAAGCAATATACAGATTCAATGCTATTCCAATCAAAATTTCAATGTCATTCTTCAAAGAAATAGAAAATTATTGATGAAATTCATAATGGAATCACAAAAACCCGAATAGCCAAAGCTCTCCTGAAAAAAAAAGAAGGGAATGGAGGCATCAGACTCCCAGACTCAAACTATACTACAAAGCCATAATCATCAAAACTGCATGGTATTGGAACAAGAACAGACATACAGACCAATGGAATCGAATAGAAAATCCAGAAATAAACCCACAGATTTATGGTCAACTAATCTTTGACAAAGGAGCAAAGACTATGCATTGGAGCAAAGAAAGTTTGTTCAATAAATGGTGCTGGGAAAACTGGGTCGCTACATGCAAAAGAATGAAAGCTTGACCACCACCTCACACCATACACAAAAATCAACTCAAAATGGATTAAAGAACTAGACATAAGACCTGAAACCATAAAATATATAGAAGGAAATATAGGCGAAACACTACGTGATTTGCACATCAAAGACATCTTTACAGACACATCACCCAAAGCAGTGATAGTGAAGGCAAAGATAAACAGCTGGGACTATATCAAATTAAAGAGCTTTTGCACAGCAAAAGAGACAATAACAAAAACAAAGAGAAACCCCACCAACTGGGAGAACATTTTTGCACCCAACAGTAATGATAAAGGACTGATCACAAAAATCTGCAAAGAGCTGATGAGACTCAACAACAACAAAGAAAATAATCCAGTCAAAAAATGGGCAGAAGAGCTTAAAAGAAACTTCTCTGAAGAGGAAATGCAAATGGCCAACAGGCATATGAAAAAATGTTCAACATCACTTGTCATCAGGGAAATGCAAATCAAAACTACCATGAGATACCATCTTACACCAGTGAGAATGGCACATATTAAAAAAACTAGCAACAACAAATGTTGGCGAGGTGTGGAGAAAAAGGAACTCTTCTGCACTGTTGGTGGGAGTGCAAACTGGTCCAACCACTGTGGAAAGCTGTGTGGAGATTTCTGCCTACTAAACTATAGACCATGACCCAGCAATTCCACTCCTAGGATATTCCCCAAAGGACACAAGAACACACAATTCCAAAGAACACCTGCACCCCTATGTTTATAGCAGCACTGTTTACAATAGCTAAGCTTTGGAAACAACCCAAATGCCCAAAAATAGATGACTGGATCAAGAAGATGTGGTACATATATACCATGGAATATTACTCAGCATTCAAAAAAGATAACATGCAATTTGCTGCAACATGGATGGCGCTGGAAGGGATCATGCTCAGCGAAATAAGCCAAAAAGAAAAGAAAAAATACCGGATGGTCTCACTCATAGCAGGAATCTAGAAAACTTAAATAATGGACCAGGAAAATGAAAAACTATAAGAAAGTGAAAATCAAAATCAACAAAAAACTATGAACCAGAGACACTTTTAGGGGGGCGGGGGGAGGGGAGGGATTGGGTCAGAATGGGGGGCGGCAATTGTATGGGGAATATAACAATAAAATTTATAAAAAAAAAAAAAAAAAAAAAAAACCATCCAAAAAAAAAAAAAAATAGTGTTTAGCATACTCCTACATGAAATTTAGAGAACTATTCTTTCTATATGGGTTTAAGGACATAATTGTGTAAATTAAGTATAAAAAATAAGTAACTTAATCTGCAGGAAAAAAGCAGCGAGTCTTTATTATTCAAATATTTGTTATCTAAGTCTCTAGTCATAAGCTACAGAAGGAGATAATATATACAATTACATATATACATATTTTATATGTGTGTAAATATATATAAAATCCCTACTCATGAAGTCTCTACTCATACACCAACATTTATTCCCACTCATCCACTGTTACATCCATCAGTCTCTCATTGATTGCCCAAGTAATAAAACACAAAGATACAAAGTAAGTATAACATAAATTACAAATATTTTGAAGTTGCAGGATTTCAAGAGTGAACTCATGGCTAACAAACTGCTTTAACTATAGGCAAAACCACTGAAAACTAAGAATCTGTGACAGACCAGCTAACAATCCAAATAAATGCTTCAAAAGAGAATAATACGAATATCAAAGGATCAGGAAAAGAAGCCCTGAAGAAACTATACAGTCATGTTTTTACTACACAATCTACACAGATCATACACACCTGGGCATTCCACACAACTACAATTCCATCATCTCCAGCAGATGCAAATCTGGTTAGAGGAAAAAAGGAAAAAAAAAATTAATGATGACATTTAATTGCTAAAATTACTAGGAATTATCAGATCTTATTAGTGGTGTTTTGACTTATTACTATTAACACAGATTAAGTTCATTAAGCCAATTTAACGAATATTTATGGAATACCTGCTATGTACCATGCTAGGTACTGAGCTATGAAGACAAAATTATTAATAGTTACAATGAAGAAACTGCTAGATAAAAAGGGAGATCCATATATTGTCTTTAATTTGTATATGATTAAACACTACCTTAAAAGTAACAAAAAGCTGAGAAACAGCATCACCTGTAGGAAGTGATCTGAACAAGAGACCTATTTCTGGAGTGGAACAAGATTTCATATCCTTAGATATATTCATTATGTCTGTATTTTTCCTATAAAGAAACTCTATAGTTTAAAGCCAAGGCCTGTCCCTTAGTTCTCTTGGCTCTTGGATTTTTGCATGAATACACCATGCTCTTGATTTGGAAGGTTTGGGACTTGAGGGAGAGTTTTTATTTTGTTTTTTAATGAAAATGCCTGAAAAAATGCAAAGAAGGAAGTTTTTTCATGGCATAAAAAAGATGAACTCTCTTTTTAGCTCCCATTCACTATATATAAATGGGTAACTGTCTATATTTTTTAGAGTAGCAGAAACTAAGCCACAAACACTGTCAAGAAAAATAAATTGTCACACGATATTGATAGCGACTACATTATAAAAAGATCAAAAAAGCTCCATTTTCAAACAGTGTCCCAACACACTGATATGCACAATCACATTATAAGCATGACATGTAATTTATTAATGTGGTACACAAGTTTGTAAATAATTTATTAATCAGTGATTCAGTTGTTCCCATATCACTTTCATTCATTTGAATTCAGGCTTACTTTTATGAGTAAGAGAAAAAGTAGTAGTATTATGGAGAGCCGGCTGTGAATTATACACCTAACAGGCCCCTTATAGTTAACAATCATTAATAAATGATACACTACTAGCAAGTTCAATACTTAGAAAACTAACTCCTATTTCATGATTGTAAGTGGGTTCACAAAATCTGGGTATGCCTTAAATGTTTTCATTAAGACAAACATTGTTAGTCATATACCTATCCTTGGGGTTAAAATTGTGAACTAATATAACAGACATGGAAATTACTTAAGTTTAACACATACTGTGTTCTAAAGAATTTCCCCCATATGAGACCAATAAATCTCACTATTTCACTCATATAACACTTTAACACACCAAACGGAATTTCAAATTTCCCATACTCAGTTTCAAAGTCTCATACTTAACTACTGTTTTCACAGACTGACAAATCTTATTCTCATTCCAAAACCCTTTGATTAGTTCCCTACTGTGGAGCTAAGAGATTATGCAGGAGATAATCAAATACAGTCTAACAAAGTCTATTACTAATTTTTTACTATGGAACTAATTATCTTTTTAATGGAAAGGCCCTTTAAAACTTCTTAGGTAACTAGGAACCACACAACGAGTTATCTTAAAATACATGCCTTAATATTTATTCTTTTTTTCCTAATATTTATTCTTATTTCAAAATGTAATAAAGAGTTAGAGATTAAGAAAATGATTTTTAAATTAAAAACATAATTTCTTGCTACCTTCCTAAAGAACACAAAATCACTAATTCGAATGCATTCCTGAGTTCACTGCAGCATTATTTACAATAGCCAGATTGTGGAGACAATCTTAAGTGCCAATCACAGAGGAGTAAAATAAGATGATGTGGTGTGCATACATGATGGAATACTATTTGGCTATAAAAAATAGTCAACTCTTGGGCCTCCCCGGTGGCGCAGCGGTTGAGCGCTGGGTTGCGAAGCTGCCCGCAGCCTCTGCAGCGCCGGTTCGATCCCCGGCTGCTCCCTGGCCACCGGAGGAGTGTCCCACATGGTGCGCAGACCTCTCCTGCCGCCCGCTGCTCCCCTCAGCAGTGTACTTCGGTCCTTCTGCCTGCTCTGTTCCCTGCTCTGGCTCTGGTGAATTCTCTCACCCTCCCGCGCTTCTGACTGTACCCAGTGCTTGTATAAATAAATAAATAAATCTTAAAAAAAATAAAATAAAAAATTTAAAAAAAAAAAGTCAACTCTTGCCATTTGAGACAAGATAGGTAGAAGTAAATGGGATTATGCTAAGCAAAATACATCTGAAGGAGAAAAACAATACTGGATGACTTCACTCTTATGTGGACTATAGAGAAACAAAGCAAAGGAACTGACAAAACTAAACCAAAACACACCCAAGAAATATGCCTGTGGAATTGAGGCCAGTAGGAGGAAAAGGAGGTAGAGTGAGAACAAAGTATGGAGGGGGCCCAATGGTCTATGAGAAGAACTATGGATGCTTTGATGATGGGTGTGGCATAGTGATATATATATCTGAGGAGCTATGAACCTAGTCCTCTAAATGATATATATTATAAGCCAGTTGCCTCAATTTAAAGATATTAAATAAAACCACCTCTTTAAGATAATTCTTGGGCCTCCCCAGTGGCACAGTGGGTGAGCGCTGGGTTGCAAAGCTGCCCGCAGCCTCTGCAGCGCCGGTTCGATCCCCGGCTGCTCCCCGGCCACCAGAGGAGAGTCCCACATGGCGCGTAGACCTCTCCTGCCGCCCGCTGCTCCCCTCAGCAGTGTACTTCAGTCCTTCTGCCTGCTCTGCTCCCCGCTCTGGCTCTGGTGAATTCTCTCACCCTCCCGCGCTTCTGACTGTACCCAGTGCTTGTATAAATAAAAAAAAAAAAGATAATTCTTAAAAAAGAGAAAGAAAATAAAGAATACTCTTAGCTCTTTGGGAAAAAAATGTATACTCAGTGAAAGCTAAAAATACATATATAATTTCTTATGCTGAACTATATATATTTTCTGAATCAGAATACTCAAAAATTCCTGGAGTTTCAAAAATAGTTACTGGAAGTAAATCTTTAATAGCTTTTATTCTGGGTCTATTGATTTCTTTTTAGTTGTATAGTGATGGTGGGGAGCGCAGGACTCATGGCCTCAAGTTTTCTTTGGTATAAAACATCAATTTCTATTGATTCTTGAAACTCTTATAATTGCTTTTCTCCCTGTAGATGACAGCGGGTTTAAAATACATACTTTTTTAATCCTGATTTTTAACTTCTCATTGTTTTATCATGTCTGAATCTCATGAGTTCACAATAAGAAATTACTGAACTGAGTTTAGAAATGAGATATGGTACATTTCACCTCAAATTTTAATTTAATCAGTTGTGGACAAAAGTTAAATCTAAACAATCTCAATAGTAATGCATGAACTCACAAGTCAATTTCTTACTGCTCAAAGATCAATTACCTAGTTGGTGGATTATTCAGGCCTTTCAATTTCCTTACATATTCTATTGCTGCCTTTAATTTGGTCATTTCAATATCATTACCACTTCTAAAGAGTAAACATGGAAGTTTAAAACATAAATCAATGTAACTTTTATTACATGTTACTTAACTCTCATAAAATAATAAAGGTTTGGGAGATCACTTACAATTACTCATACTACTAGGATGGATCAAAAGGTACTAGCTGCACAGTATCATTTAACTAAATCAGTTTATCTTAGTCAATCAAGCACATACTCCAGCCATCTCCAGATCAGGAGTGAAAATTCAACCTCAGAGTTCTTTTTTTTTTTTTTAAAGATTTATTTATTTATTTACTTACTTACTTACTTATTTATTTATACAAGCACTGGGTACAGTCAGAGGTGCGGGAGGGTGAGAGAATTCACCAGAGCCAGAGTGGAGAGTAGAACAGGCAGAGTGACAAAGTACACTGCTGAGGGGAGCAGCAGGCGGCAGGAGAGGTCTGCACGCCATGTGGGACCCTTGCCCGGCAGCCGGGGATCGAACCAGTGCTGCAGAGGCTGCGGGCAGCTTTGCAACCCAGCGCTCAACCGCTGCGCCACCAGGGAGGTCCCAACCTCAGAATTCTTAATAGTAGGTTAATTGCTGAAAAGAAACAATGATCTATAAAAAAGGAATCATTAAAACATCAGTAAGGTTTAAGCTATTCAATGGAAGGAAGAATACTGACATATTGCCACAAAATTTACACAGTAATCTTTAAAACACTTTAAATTAACAGACCCCAAAGATTTGTATCTAATGATAAGATGTTAGGGGAAATGTTTCCGTACTTATTAGCACAAACTTATTTCAAGCTCAGTTAGGGAAAAGCCAAGACTGAAAAGAAAAGATATGCCAAGATCAATGACATGTGATTCTTGCCTCAAGATCTTAAAATTTAATGACTTAGAAACATTCTTTTTCATTATATCTATGATATCTGCATTTGCAAGATATTCTATATTGTTTCATGAACTAGTTAAGGAAAAATTCTGCCAATCATTATTAAAAGATGCCATCAATTATACAATGTATCCAAACTTTAGATCAACAAAATTAAAGTGATTTCCATATTGATTTATCTTTATAATAAATGGTACTTTCTGGTATAATATGGCACTTTCTGGACCAACAAATCTCTACGTCTGAATGAATAAACAAACAAGTGAATAAGCAAATAAGTATTACAAGGGCTCTGTGGAACAGGTTAATAGTTTTGATTTAACCTCACTTTTCCTTTTATCCTTAGTAATGTATTAATACAGTTATAACAAAAGCAGAAATTTGAAAAATTTACAGCCCAGAATCCCACTATATACAAAAATGACTTTCAGTTTTTCAATGTCCATCCTATTCTTATACCTGTCGTTCAAGTTTTCTTAACTTGAAACCAAGTCGTTAAAAACACTCTTTGAGACTACACAAATGACTAAGTGAAAATTATATGCATGAAAAAAGTTTAACAAGGAGAGTCATGGCTAATGAATACCTGTAGGAGAGTTACAATGTTGCAGCCTCTCCTTCCCTAATCATGAGAACCAATTTTTTTTAAGCTTTATTTATTTATATAAGAACCAGGGTATAGGCCAGATGTGCGGG